TCGCCGTGTAGCGGGGAAGGTGTGGCCATGCTGGAGCAGGATGAGAGAGACCCAGGCGCAGGTGTGTGCGCGGGGCAGTCCCCTGGGGCGCCGGCACCCCAGGAGCGGGAAGGAGGGGGTCCCCTGAGGTGTGGGGGAGCACGGGCTGCTGATGCCTGCCTTTCGACGCTGGCCCCGGGACCCTGAGCGCCAACGTCGCTGCTGAGGCTGCCGTGGTCGCTCGCCCCGCGGCCCTGAGAAGCGCGTCCAGGCAGGACCAGGAAGGAGGGTGCGGGCGCCCTGTGTCCAGGCCGGGCCCGGCACCTTCACGGCCATCTCGAGCAGCCCCGCAGCGGGCGGAGGCCAGGGAACTGGCCGAGGGCCAGGGTCACTGGGCGCTGAGCGTGAGCGGCAGAGGGCCCGCGGCGGGGCTGGGTGTGGGGTGTGGGTTGGACGGCCACGAGCCAGGCATTCTCTTCCCTCGGTGAGCTTGCCTGGGGGCTTCCCGGTGGAGGTGTCCAGTGTGCAGATGGCTCTGGGGCTGGGTGCCCAGGGGTGGCCAGGGCTGGGCATCAGGAGTCCTTGCCAGAGGACTGGACGGTGTTGCGCCGGCCAGACCTGAATTTTTATGACTGGCAAATTGTTGGTATTTTCCTTGCTTTAAAGTGACCTTGAGAATCTCCACCATCTGTCACGGGGGCCAGACCCGGGGCCGTCCACTCCCCGCCCATCCGGCCCCGCCCGTGAACAGAGATGGGGGGAGCAGCCACCAGCAGCACAGGGGAGGGGCAGGTCAGCGGGGAGCAGGGGCGTCCAGGAGGCGGGAGGGCATGGGGATCTCTGCGGGGGGCTCGGGGTGCAAGTGGGGCATGAAGCCACCTCCCACGCCCTTTCCTTCTGGCCAGAGCCCCTTCTGAGCCCTGGGGGGCCCGCCCCTCCTGCAGGGGCAGCGAGGGCTGCACGGTGGTGCCTTCCGGGCAGCGGGCAGCCCAGTGTGCCCTGGGCACAGGGCGCACGTCTCTTTTCTGAGGTCATAGCTATCACTCTGGCGGGTGCTGGGGTGGCAGGCTAGGCTAGGGCTCTGCGCCGTGGGTGGCGACCCATTTGTGGGCGCGAAATCAGTTCAGTGGGTCCCAGCAGCGCTGGTTACGTAAGATGTGGAGCCGAACAGGGAGCGAGCAGGTGCCTGTTTGGAGGCGAGGTCTGCTGCGTGTTCCCAGGTCTTGTCGTTAACCCACCGCTGCGGGCTGGAGGCCGAAAGACAACCCCCAGATCAGACCGGCGCTCGCCCGAGACCTGTGGAGAGGGCATGAGGATGGAATGAAATCCTGGGTGTTGCAAAGGAAGGCTGTCCCCATCATCGGGGAGTTCTGTGCAGCCACGTTGTTCTCAGGCGAGAGAGGCCCAGGGGGGTCATGGCGGACACAGTAGACGGGCTGGACCCTGGGGGCAAGGGCGGGCGACGTTGCACAGGCCAGGGGCCGGCTCCCTGCTCCCCGGGCCCCGCGGGCTGGGCTGGCACCCTCCCCTGGCTGGCAGGACATGCAGCCCAGACTTGAACCGGCCCCGTGGCCCGAGGCCAAAGCAGCCCCCACCCCCGGCCAGCACAGGGCACGGTGGCTGCTGACAGTGGGGTGGTCGTCCTGTTTATAAGCCAAGGGGGCATCATTCTGGGTTGCAGGGTTGCACCCACTTGTGGGACCCCTGGGCCCGGCAGTGATGCTCTGAGGGTTGCCTGAGGCCCCGGGGGTTGCCTGGGTGAAGTGGGGGCACCGGGGAGCTGGGCGGGAGGTCAGGCTTCAGTGTAGCTCTGAAGGCCCCAGGCCGCCGCTGCCCGCCCTGCTCCAACTCTCGGAGCCCTTGGGAGACGCTGGCCCCTGCTGTGGGAGGCCGGCTGGGCCCACCCGGAGGCGCTTCGCAGGCGGCATGCACCCCACGGGACTGGCCTGACCCACCGCACTCTCGCCATGTGGCTCTCCTGCTCAGGGCCAGGCCCCCCAGGGACCAGGCCGGGCAGGCCCAAGCCGCCTGAACCTCCCAAGCCTCAGTTTCCCGACTGGCACACTGGGGCTGCATTGTGGGTTAAGTAGGCTCCCCCCAAATTCATGACCGCCTGCGACCTTTGAGAGTGGTCTTGTTTGAAACGGGTTTTGCAGAATTAAGATGAGGCTGTGTGGTGGCCCCGGGGCTGGTTCCGACCGGCTCTCCCAGCACCCCGCGTGGCTGGCAGGGCTCGAGCAGACCCCTGCCGCCTCCGCCGGGCCTTTGCAAATCCCCTTTCCGGGACGCCGGGAACAGGTGCACTGCGAGGGTGGCAGAGTCTATTTCGGGTGCCGGGAGGCGCGGCCCTGCCCTCCCCACTCCTGTGGCAGCGGCCACGGGACGCTCCAGCGCGTCTGCCCAGTGGGGTGTGGCCCCGGGCGCCCTCGCTCAGCGGCAGCGCTTCTCAGGCCCACGCTCACGGGAGGCCTGGGGGAGAGGCAGGCGGGGCCCCAAGCTGCGCGTCCCGCGGGGTGGACGGCCAGTCGTCCTGGCCACGTTCTTTTTTTTTTTTTAAGATTTATTTATTTATTTATAGAAGAACCGGGGCACAGGCCAGAGGTGTGGGGGGTGAGAGGATTCCCCAGAGACAGAGCGGGGAGCAGAACAGGCAGACTGACTGAAACCCACTGCTGCGGGGAGCAGCGGGCGAGACAGGAGAGGTCTGCCGTGCCATGTGGGTAGCTCCCTGGCCAGCGGGGATTGAACCCGCTCTGCAGAGGCTGCGGGCAGCTTCACAGCGCTGCGCTCAACCGCCTGCACCACCAGGGGAGGCCCATGGCCACATTCTGAGCCCCACAAAGAAGCTCCAGGGCGAGATGCAGAGAGAGGGAGCCGGCCAGGGGTGGAGGGAGGGACGCAGTGACCACTGCGAGGCGTCCTCTCTGGGCTCAAGTGACCTGTACAGATGAGTGAGCTGAGGGTGGGGAGGGGGCTCCAGCCCCACACAGAGGCAGGTGAGCCCCGTCCTGGAGCCGGAACCCCTGGCGCTCCATCCCTGCTTCCCCCCACCCCATCTCCCTCGCCCTCCCTCCCTCCCTCCCCAGGCGACAGCTCCCCAGGGCCAGAGCCGGTCCTGTGGGGACATACCCCAGCCCGGGTTGGGCCAAAGGCCTGTGCCTGGGGGAGCCAGCAGTGACCGGTGGGGGCCAGTGGCCCAGGGGTGCCCACCTCCAACACTGCTCGGTGACAAAGCCTTGGGGCCTCAGAACGGGGGGTGCCACATGCAGCGCCCACACGCCTGCAGGGGACAGCCTGACCACTGGGGTGGATGCTTCCAGGCGCCCTCCTGGCCCTTGCTGACCGTGGGGGGAGGAGTAGGGGCTCAAGCGGCTAGGACAGGGCAGGAGGCCGGGCGGCCACCCTCAGCCCCTCCCTGCTTGTCACCTGCGTGTCCAGGCAGCGCCGCCCTGGTGGCTTGGGCGACTTGTGGCTAAGGATTCTGGGGTGACAGTTTTCAGAAGCAAACAGGGCCCACTGCTAACAAGGCCGCTGGGAAAGGGGTCCGTGTCCAGCGCAGGTGCTGGGGCTGGGCCTCTCCCTGCTGCCCTGGCCACCGCCACGCCCCGGCGTCTCCAGTCCCGCTCAGTCAGCCTGTCTCGGGGTCGGCAGCGGGCAGTGTGGAACTGGGCAGCTGCAGGACCCGCGAGGCCTGAGTCCCTGGAGGTTAGAGATCCAGAAGGTCCTGGCCAGAGTGACCAGGGCGGAGGCGCACCTGCACAGGTCCTTCCCCACCACGCCGTGTCCACTTCCTGCCAACAGAGGGCAGCGCCACCGCCCTGACCCCACAGCCGGGAGGCTTTGAGGGGCTCCCCACAAACCTGGTCTTAAAGCAGCTCCCCACCCCCAATTAAATGTGTTTCCCAGACCCAGGAAGGTGACTAGCAACGGTGCCTTGGGCACTCACTGCGGCTGGTCCCGGGAGCTGGCTAAGCCTTGTCCTGCCCCCTCCCCCGGGGCTGGTGACCTGACAGATGGAAGGACAGAGCCTGGGGTCCTAGGGCCTTGCCTGAGCTCACAGCTCCACAAGAGGCGAGGCTGGGGCTGCAGCGGGCCCCCGACCCAGCGCCCACACCCCCAGGACTCTGACAGCCCTGCCCCGCGTGTCTGGTGGCCCACATCCTGGCCTGCAGCCAGCGTCCGGCCGGACAAACCAGCCGTGGAGTCACGGAGACGCCGCGTCCTGTCCTCTGGGGGGACCGCAGCTTCCAGCCCCGCAGTCTTGGCCCGGCCTTGGCCACGGGTGGGGTGACTCGGCAGTCAGCCCCGGCTGAGCGGGGCCTGCGGTGAGGCATGGCTGGCGTGCTGGGGTCCGGCCAGGATCCCACGCCTCCCTCACAGGGGGTCTCGGCTTGCAGCCCGGAAGGCCTCGCCTTCTGCCTCCCCCACAGTTCTGATAAGTCACAGAGAAAGCGGCTTCTGCAATGAGTCTGTGGGGACAGGACGTGGGGGGTGGAAGCTGCTGCTGCTGCAGGTAACCCGGGGCGGCACTGCCCCCAGGCACCCGGGACGGGTCGCCGCGCAGCTCCGGCCTCGGGTCAGTGCAGGCTCTCAGGGGCGTCAGGGAGTTTGGGCGCCCAAGGAGGCTGGCGGGCCGTGGCACAGAGGCTGCGGGCCGGAGCCCAGCCCACCAGGACGGGGCCCAGCGGCGTCTGCACTGGCCAGAGGGAGCCAGATGCCCCCACACCCAGGCGCCTCTTCTAGTTAGCCAGTGCCCAGGCCCCCACCCCCCGAGCCCCCTCTTCTCCAGGAAGCTCCCCACCCCTCTGCCCACCTCAGCGCGTCCGCCCACCCAGGCCAGGGTCATCTCCCGGACACCAGACACCGCCGGCTGCCGTGGCTGGTGCCTGGGCCCTCAGCGACCATCGCCTCTCACCTCCTGACCACCACTGGCCCTGGGGGCGCGGGGTGGGGGCGCGGGGCACCCTCCTGGCTGCGATGCTCCCACCTGGCCCCTGCCCGCTAACGCCCCCTCCCCGCAGTGTCGGAGCGGCAGGCTGCGCTCGGCGCGCTGGAGAAGCCGCCCAGCTCGGCCATCCTGTGCAACACCTGCGGGAAGCCGTGCAGGGGCGAGGTGCTGCGGGTGCAGAGCAAGTACTTCCACCTCAAGTGCTTCGTCTGCAAAGGTGAGCTCAGCGGGGTCGGCCCTGGGCCGGGGCTTGGGAACCAGAGTCCATCTCCCTGCGCGGGGGCTCCCGGGGCCACCGGGGCCTGCCCAGTGGGGGGTTGGGGTGCTGCCGGGTCCTGCCAGTGTCCACTGCTCCCAGCGTCAGGTTTCAGGCCCAGGGACCAGCGTAGATGCCCAGCGTGGCCGGCACAGGACGCCCAGGGAGAAGGCCCTGGTCTCTGGCAGCACACGAGCACGTGGGCACCAGGCTAAGCTCGGCGATGCCTGAGCGAGCCTGCCTCGCCCTGCGCTGACTGGGTGGAGCAGGGGGCGGGGCAGAGGGCAGTCAGGGCACTGCCTGCCCCCCCGGGGCTCCGGTCTCCCGGCCCACCCTGTCGTCCTTCCACTTGGGGAAACCGAGGCACAGGGTGGGGGTGTGTCTTGCCCAAGCCGGCAGGTGGAAGCCAGAATATCTTGGAGGAGAGAGGGCGAGGGCAGAGGAGGGGGAGCTGGGGAGGAGAGAAGAGGGAGGGAGGGTGGGGAGGAGCTGCCCCAGGTCTTCAAACCCGCCTGTGGCCAGAAAAACCCGCCTGGTCTCCTGGACCAGCTCCGCACTCAGGACCCGCCTTTCCAGCACTGTCCTGCGGCCCTGCAGGGAACAGGCCCCCGGGTCAGGCGGACAGGCCACGGCAAGGGTGGGGGGGACCTGGGGAGGGGCAGGCTTCTGGACCTGGCAGCAGCCCGGGGGCTTGCGCGGGAGCCAGGGGAGAGGAGCAGGAGAGGGGGAGGGAGGTGGGGAGAGTGCACCCCACCTGCAGCTTGGCTGCTCCCCAATCTCGAAGAGCCCTGCTCCCCGGAGGCTGCAGGGGATACAACGGGGGAGCACACAGGTGACCCTTTGCCCGCCCTCTGCAGCACAGCTCCCAGGCAGGAGGGGTGCTGAGGGCTCAGGGACTCAAGGTTCTGTCCCAGCGTCCCCAGCCCTGGTCCCCGCAGGGTTTGGCCTCCTCCTCCCTGGGGAGGGGCTCCTCTGCCCCCGCCCCCGCGATGGCCCTCCCAGGACAGCGGGGGCATAGCAGGTGTTGCGGTTCAGCCACCTTTGGCCTGGCCTGTTGTGGCCACAGTGCCCTGGGGGCGGGGGCTCGTGAGCCAGCGTGCTTTGTCCTTGCCGGGGTCAAGCAGGCAGGGGAGTCTGGCCGGCCCCTCAGCCCCGAGGAAGTCCAGCACTGGGGCTGGGCCCGGCCTCCCCCCGGGGCTCAGGTGCCCCCAGTTTGCACAGGGGCGAGGCAGCGGGTGGTCCGGCGGCGGGGCTGCTGGGAGGCGTCTCCCACGCACGGCGCTTCTCCCGCAGCATGCGGCTGTGACCTGGCCGAGGGCGGCTTCTTCGTGCGCCAGGGCGAGTACATCTGCACGCTGGACTACCAGAGGCTTTACGGGACCCGCTGCTTCAGCTGCGACCAGTTCATCGAAGGCGAGGTGGTGTCGGCCCTCGGCAAGACCTACCACCCAGACTGCTTCGTGTGCGCCGTGTGCAGGTGAGCGCCGCCCCCGCCTGCCCCTCCCGCCCGCGCGCCCTGCCCTGCCGGACAGGGGGGCCGCTGGGCCCAGCTGGGGAGGCGAGACCAGGGCAGCCCGGCTCAGGCACAGCTTCGCCCAGCCCCTGCCTTGGCACAGCGCGGAGGCCCCTTCCCGGCACAGGGCAGGCTCCTGGGAAGCAGCGGACACTCGGCCCGCGTGGCTCCTGGGGGGTGTTGCCGGGCTCAGTCAGGGGAGACTTCGGGGTTGATCCCTGGGCCGTGGACCTAGTTACGGCGTGTGCCCTGGACAGAAGGGCTTGGGCGGGGGCGTGAGAGAGGAGGGTGCCAGGGAGCGCAAGCCCCAGCGTCCACTGCGGGTGTCTTGGCAGCCACCGTGGGCCGAGTGTCGGGTTTCCGAGCGCGGCGCCCAGCAGCGAGGCTGTGTGGTCACGGCCTGGACCACCTCCTCAGGGTTGTCGCTGTTTTAAAAATAATAGCAGGCGGCTCTGTTGTGCTGGGCCAGCTGGACTGGACTCCCCACCCCAGCAAGCAGCCGGACACTGGGCAGGACTGACCTGACAATTGCTGTCACTCTGGGAGCCCAGGCAGCTCGGGCCCAGGAAGGGAGGCGGAGGGAGGGGGCCTGGGGCCCAGCTCCTGCTGGAGCCCGCCCTGGAGCCGTGCCGGTGGGAGCAGCGGGTGGGCACAGGCGCTGCGCTGGGAGTCAGTCCAGAGGCAGGCCCCAGCTGGGAGAGCTGTGCGAGGAGTGTGCCTGCGGGCCCTCGAGCCTGCCCAGGCCTGAGGCCACTGGGACGTGGAGGGTCACTCGGCAAGGCAGGGGCGAGCAGCCTGGCTAAGCAGGCAGTCCCCGGGGCCGAGGGACTGCCATGCTCTGACCCCAGGGCAGAGTCTCGCTGAGCACCCAGGGCTGGCCCTCCTTGTGAGAGGATGGCGACGGCCCTAGAGCCACGCTGCGGGCACCGGCCCTGACAGAGTGCAGGGCGCAGCTTGAGACTGCACAGGTGCACACAGAGCTGGCCCCACGGCAACGCCGGCCCCCGAGGGAGACCCAGGCCCCTGCCCACCGCAGGGAGGGAGCCCTGTCCGCATCCGACCTACAGCGTGGGCCGCAGGGGAGCCAGGCCGGAGACGAAGCGGAGCCCCAGCTGGGGTAGCTGGCACGTGGGCGTGGTGGGGCGAGGCGAGGTCCCCAGTGTGCTGGCCCTGGGGAGCCTGACTGCCTAGGGCCCTATGGACAGAGACCAGGTGGAATTTCCAGAAAACTACATGTTCTAAAATGAGGACTTTCCCGAAAGGAACTAGCAGTGAGTTAGGGGCAACCTGGGAAAAGGCCAGCGAGCTCCAAGACTCCCGGTAGGAACTCTCCCGTCGGGAGCAAAGGGGGGAAAAGACTGAAAACCGTCCTTGTGATCTCTGGACGTAGATCTGTCTGTCTGTCTCGCCGGGGAGGGGAGACCAGAGGTCTGGGAGAAGACTGAGCACATTTGAAGAAGTAATGGCTGAAAACTTTCTAAACTGGATGAAAACCGTAAATCACTGGATCCAGAAATTTCAGTGAAACTTGAGCCGAGTAAATACGACTCCCTCCCCATCCCGTCCTGACCCGTTTCTGCAAACAGAAATAAGAAGACAGTCTTCAAGGCAGCAAGAGAACAAAACCGAGCGTGTCTGCCGGACAGAAGGGTGCCTTGTCCTCTCGTCCCAAGCCGCGCCAGGGGACCGCAGAGCAGCGTCTTGGAAGGCGGAACCAGAGAGTCCGTCAGACCATGTCAGACCAGCCCCGGGGTCTCAAACACGAAGGCAAGATTGCAAGGGCGTGTGTTTCTTTCTGGGGTGATGAAGGTGACCTCAGCTGGGTTGTGCAGATGGTTGGAGAACTCTGAATAGAAAAAGGCCCTGCGCATGTGCGCGTGGACACGTGACCGTTAGACGTGTGTGTGTGTGTGTGTGTGTGTGTGTGTGTGTGTGTGTGGTTAAAATAATGCCAATAGACGTGTCACCCGCAAAAAAATCCAAGAAAAAGAAAACTTGCAGACACAACGGCTGCGAGCTCACGGCGAGCAGAGCAGTCCTGCGCGGTCATAAGTGACAGCTGGCGAGCTGACGAGAATGATGCCAAAAGACGCTAAGAAAGCGCCAGGGCAAGCTCTGAGCTGGGACAAGTGTCTGCCGCGGGACCGGTCCCCGAAGCATCCGAAGGACTTCTCAGCTCAGTACGAGGCCTGTTAAAAATAGGCGAAAGGGCTTACCGGGTGCCCGCAAAGCACCCACGTGAGCACCCCAGGGACGGCAGCCGAACCCCGAGGAAGCGCGTCTCCACGCACCAGACCGACTCACCTGCGACGGCGCCCGCCACGGGCTGTGCGCGGAGAGTGGTAAGCGGGAGGCGCTGCTGCTCTGCCTGGGAGGCCAAGTCGCCCCATCTCTATGGAAACCAGTCTGGCAGCTTCTCATCGAATTAAATATACAGTCAGCGCGTGGCCCTGTAATTCCACTCGTTGCTGCTCCCCCGAGGAATGGAGTGCGCGCCCACAGTGCGTCCACAGCTGCTCCTGGCAGCCCAGACCGGTAGGCCCCATGCCCCCCGCGGGGCGGCACGGAGTGGCCGCTCTCCCCACTAGCGCACGCTCCAGGTAGCGGGAGCAGGAAAGACCCACTGTGCGCGTGGCCAGTGAGGCCCTCGTGCCAGCCACGGCCGGCCGGCCGGGTGTGGGGTGCATGCAGATGCTCACTGGGGCTTCTTGCAATGGGTGGAGTGCCCCTCCCACAGCCGTGGTGTTGCTCACGCGCGTGTGCACATTTGTCAAATATACCTCACTGAATTTGAATTCCTAACACGACAGCTGCCGCCTCTTCAGCTCTCCTGGTCCCGGGCAGCCTGCCAGAGCTGTCCACCTGTGTGTCCAAGGGAGGGACGCCTGCTGGGTGGGGGGTGGGGGTAGAATGCATGTGTAGATGGAGGCTGGCTGGACGGTGGATGGACAGGGTGGGTAGGGGGATGGGGGATGGTGATGGGTGACGGATGGGTGATGGATAGGTCGGTGGATGTCGTGTGGGTGGGCGTGTGGGTGACGGGTGGACGGGTGGGTAGCTGGGTGGGTGGATAGCAACCCTGCAGCAGGTGCTAGTTTATGAAGCAAGTGCTCAGGGGGCTGCGGGCCGATATTCGCTCAGATCACGCCTGCGAGGGAGAGGCCCTGCTCTGTTCCCTGTCCCCACTGGGCTTCCAGACAGTGGGGGTGAGGGCAGCAGGCCCAGCGCGGCCCTTGGACGACGAGGCGGGTGCAGCAGAAGCTGGAGGCTCCGGGTCAGTCAGAGCTGCGCAAGTGTGGGCCCCGGGGAAGGGCACAGGCCCCCTGGCCAGCTGGGCTGGGGAGGTGACCCAGTGCTGGCGGGTATCAGGTGGACACGGGCAGCCCCCTCTGGTCATCTCTCAGCCCCTGTCTGCAGGGGCCCGGCCCTCGCCCCTTGGGGACAGGCCAGGGGTGGCCCCTGTGCTGCTCACCCACCTCGCTCCAGGCTGCCGGGCAGGGACCTGACCCGGGCTGGCCGCCTCCCACAGCCCTGCGAGACTCTTGGAGCTCCCCTGCCGGCTGGTCTTGGTCTGACCGAGCTTCTGCACACGGCTCTGTGTGGCCCTAGGGAAGCTGACTCTGCTCTCTGGACTTTGGTTTTCTCGCCCACGAGGGAAACACGAAGCAAACCACCACCTTGACAAGCATGCGGGGGCCCTAGGGGGAGTCTGGGGCCCATCCGCGCCTGCCTAGCGGGCTTTCAGAGCAGCAGGCATTGCCGTGATGGCGGCTCAGATGCATCCTGGGTGGCCAGCGGAGGCAGTGGGCAGTGTGGGCAGCTGGTGAGGGCCGGTGTCCTGACCAGGCCCGAGACGGCTCTGCCTGGGCACTGTGACCGGGATGGGCTTCCCTCCCCAGGGCAGACGCCGAAGCTGGGGAGGGGCCTGGCCGGTGACACTTCTCTCCTTGCAGGTTGCCCTTTCCACCCGGGGACCGAGTGACCTTCAACGGGAAGGAATGCATGTGCCAGAAGTGCTCCCTGCCCACGGCGGTGGGCAGCGGCACCCACCCGGCCCAGGGCCTCTGGAGTAAGTGGGTGCCGAGTGGCCTGGCAGGGTGGTCCTGCCATGTCCGGGTAGGGCCCAAGCAAAAACTGCCACAGTGTGAAACTGGATAAGCGCAGTGCAGGGGCCTGGGAAGAGGAACCCGGGCATCCGTGCCATGAGCCCTGGCGCAGGCTGTGCCCCCCTCTGCCTGCACCCTGCCTCTGGGAAGCCCCCACCTCCTCCAGGTCCTCCCCCCACACCCTCAGCCCCCGTGGTCACTACCCCACCGTGGAGGGGTACCCCAGGGAAGTGGGCTCCACCAGGGCTTCCTGGGGACGGCAGCAGGGGTGAAGAGTCCTCCGTCTGTGCATTCACTCACTCAGTCACTCACATGCTCACTCACTCACTCATTCACCAAGCGCTTCCTGGGCCTCTGGCCTGTGCTGGCCCCCAGGGGCCCGGAGGCGAAAATCAACGTCCCTCCTGTCCCCTCGGCCCCAGCCGGGAGTGGGAGTCTGTCCTTCTGCTGTCGCCCAGGCCTGCGGATGAGTGTGAGCAGGGTGCTAATTTAGGAAAGGAAGAATCTGACCAACAGCCTGTGGGCGTTCATGTTTTTCATTCTTGAAAACAGCTCCGGCCGCTGCGGAGAAGAGAAGCCGGGCTGGGCACAGCGTCTGTGGGCTCTGCGCCTCCTGCCCACACTCACACTCACTCACGCTCGCTCACACACACTCACACACCCCGGGCAGGTCTTGTGGCCTGTCCCTGCCCTGAGGGCCCCTGGCCTCTCCAGCCCGGTGCTGCAGCACACGAGCCTAGTGGGGGACACCCAGGGCCACGGCCAGAGGGTCAGGGGGCCACTGGGCTGGAACCCCGAGGCCTGAGCACGAAGCACCTGGGAGCCCCGGGACTTCCTGGCTGAGGCAGCCCAAAGGGTGCGGGGAGGGGGTTGGAGCAGACACCCCACTGGGACCACAGCTTGGACAGCACTGACCCCCTGGGGCTGCAGGCGGGGCTGGAGGGCTCCTGGGGTGGGGGTTACTGGGAGAACATCAGGCAGGAGGCTGGGGAGGACACGGGGCTCCAAGCTCTGGAATGCAAGGCTTTTCCCCTGGGGGTCACAGCAGCTTCCTACCTGTCACCTCTGCGTGGCCTGGGGCAGCAGCCCCCACCCAGCGCCCTCTTCCTGCCCTCGGGAGGGGAGGCCTCTGGCCACTGCATTCCAGGGTCCCCGCTTGACCAGCCCGCATGCAGCAGGCAGCAACGAACTCCTAACTTGTTTTCCTCCTGCTCCCGCTGACCGTCGTGCAGCCGGCCCCTCCAGCCCCCGCGGCCGACCGCCCCGGGCCCGCCCCTCGGTCCCTCGCCTGACCCCGCTGTGTTCCCGCCTTCCTCCCAGGCTGCGGCGGCTGCGGCTCGGAGATCAAGAACGGCCAGTCCCTGGTGGCTCTGGACAAACACTGGCACTTGGGCTGTTTTAAGTGCAAGACCTGCGGGAAACAGCTGAACGCAGAGTACATCAGCAAGTGAGCGGCGTCTGCGGCGGCCGGCACCCCTACCCCCCGCCCTCCAGGCACCCCTACCCCCTCCTCCTGCGCCCCGCCCCTGGGATGGGGCACCCCTGCCTCCCGCCCTCCGGGCGACCCTGTGCCTGTGCCCTGCCCACTGGGCACCCTACGCTCTTGCACCCTTGGGTCCTGCCATGCCCCACCCTCAGGTGCTCAGGGGCTCCACAGGATGCTGGCTCAGGAACCAGGAGCGCCTTTGTTGCACCTCCTTCCTTCTAGGCCCCCCGTCCCTCGGTGCTGGGGTCCCCCCGGAGAGGGCAATGAGATGAGAAGGTGAAATAGGCCCAGACCCGGCTTCCCCTCCCAGCTGTGGGGCCCCTGGGCCAGCGGCCCTCGTAGCCCCGGCCTCCCTGCTGTGGGATAGAGAGACCCTGCTTCTCGGGCCCAGAAAACCTGCCCCTCGGTCGCGTTGCTACCTGGGGCCAGAAGAAGGGGCGACCCCCACAAGGGGGCCCTCTGTGGGAGTCCCGGGGAGCCCAGCCCTGACCCCCTGTCCCCGCAGGGACGGGCTGCCCTACTGCGAGGCCGACTACCACACGGAGTTCGGGATCCGCTGTGAAGGCTGTCAGAAGTACATCACCGGGCACGTGCTGGAGGTGAGGGCGGCCCTGGGCACCTGCTCGGTCCTGCCGCGGCCCGACCCCGCCAGGCGGCCCCCTGTGCTGCGTGTCTGCGCCCCCTCCAGCCTCTAGGCTGCCCACTGAGCCCCCCCTCCCCCGGGAAGCCTGTCTGTGGCACACTCTGCCCTGTGAGCTGGACGTGGTGGGAGAGCTGCGGGGCTCGGGGAGCTGAGTCTCCCTTTCCTCTCTGAGGGCCCAGGGTCTCTCCAGGGAGCGGCAGCAGGACTGGCCCCGGGGGGCCGGAGAGGCCACGGGCAGCCCCTGGGCGGGGACTTCGGCTGCTGTGTCTCGATCAGCCGGCCTCACGGCGGGGCCCTTGGTGGAAGTCACCTGCACCTCACACTGTCCGCGCACCCCCGGGGGGCGGGGGAAGACAAACCAAACCCCACTCACCCATTTCAGGGGCCTAGGCCCGCCCCGGCTTTGTGCTGGGGCAGATGGTGGCTCTCTGGCTGGCACAGGTCCGTGGGAGGTCGGGGTAGGAAGGGGTATTCCCTGGGGGGTCACCGGAACCCTGGGGGTGTTCATGCCCCCTCCAGACGTCGGCGCTGCCTAGCTGCCTGCCACCATCACCCTCACTCCCGGTTGGGAAACCTGGCGGCCAGCACCCAGGGGCACGGTGTCCTGGGAATGTCCCCTGAGGGCTCCCCCGCCCCGCAGCCCCTCTGGGCGACCAGGCGCCCTGCTCGAGGCTGGGCCTGCCCACAGGGGGGCCAGGCTGGGCCAGCAGCTGCACCCAAGCAGGGCGGGGGGCCACGGAGCAGCTCCCGCAGAGCACTGAGGCTGATTTTCACCATTGCCTGTGATGGGACACCCAGGGGCATGGGTACCGAGGGTGCCCTCGGGCTCAGGGAGACCAAGCCGATGTTGCTCCCCATGTTGCCCCTGGCCTGTCTGCCTCCTGACACCTGTGGGACCCCCTGCACCCTGGGGTGGGGCCACGTCCCGTCACCTCCTCAGTGAATCTGTGAGGGGACCCAGCTTAGTGCTGGCCCTGGCCACTGGCGGGGCGGGCCTCCCGGAAGGCAAGGGTGACCCTCTGCAGGGCCAGTGCCGGGGTGGTGCCGTGAGGGCCCCCACCCGCTACTCCGGTTTATCAGGACCGGCCTGGAGGGCGGGAGCGCGGGGACCCCGCGGGCTGAGCTGGCTGCAGCGAGCAGAGGCCTCCCGGGAAGATTGATGCTTTTGTTTTTCCTCTGCCGAGCTCCTGGCTGGCTGAGCGCGGCTCCGCACCGCCTGAGCTTCCTCAGCCTCCTCCTGCGAGGTGGCTGCCGCGGGCGGCGGGCGGGCGGGGACCGCGGGCTCGCGCTGGGGGAGCTGCGTGGGGCGCGCCGGGGCTGGGCCCAGAGCACCGGCGCCCTGCAGCGGTGGCGGGGGGCTCCGGGCGGCGGGGGAGCTGTCCGGCCTCTGGCCCTGCTGCCGCCCTCGCGTGGCCGCGCTCCCTGGACTTCCACAGCCGAGCAGGTAGGCAGTGCCGCTGGGCCGCGCGGAGGCGGGCAAGGGCCGCGCCGCCTGGGGCCGGAACCTCAGTGGGGTGGGGGTCTGGTCAGCAGCTGCGGGACCCCCAGCCGCTTGTCACCCCGCTTGCCGCCTGAGATGCCTGTGGGCACCCAGGACGTGCCTCCCGCGGCGCCGGCGAGGTGGCCTGTGCCTCGGAGCCGGGAACGGCCTCGCGCAGGTCCCTCCCCTCGCTGGGCTGCTCTGAGTACCAGCTCCTGCCTCCCACCCTGCAGGCGTGCCTCTGCGGGGCCTGCGGCGCTGGAGGAGCCTCTGGGGCCACCGGACTGAGGGGCCGGTGGCGGGCGGGGCTGGGGCAGGCCTGGGCCTGGGGGCGGCCTGGGGTCTGGGCGGTTGCGCTGCAGGGCAGGGCAGGGGGATGGTGTGAGGCCTCCTGGCTCAGTCCTCAGCCCCAGCCCCACCCGCCCCCTGTTTTGTCCTGGCAGGTATGAGCTGGGAGGCTTCCCCGGCGCAGGTGGGGGTGCTGGGGGTGAACAGGGTGCATCTGGCTCAGCCTCGCCCCCATTAACCCTGCGGGCCTTGTCTGAGCCCACTTGCCTGGTGCAGCTTGTTGGTCTCCACGGCAACCAGAAGCCGGGGTCCCTCTGCCGTCACTGATTAATTCCTCCCTCCTGCCTTCCTCCCTCTCCTCCTGCCTTGCTTCCTCCACCATCACCTGTGGATCCTTCCAGAGCACGTGCTATGTCCCAGGCGGGCTGCGTGCCCATGTCATGGCCATGGGGGGCGGGGGCCCTGTCTGCAGGCTGCCCCGCCTGGTCAGGGGCAGCTCCGTGCCCCCTCCCTCGAGGGGCACCGTCCCCGGGGCTGCAGGACGGCAGGGGCTTGTCGCCGTCTGCCTGGCCCTTCCGTCCGCGTCACCCGTAGCCGGGGCTTGCGCTGGGGGGAGGCGCCTGGTCAGCCCGGTGTTCCCAGATAGAGGGAAGGAGTCCCCACCATGGAGGGCGAGGGGTCCCGAGGCCCCAGGCCCTGTTTGGGATGTTTGTGAGCTGGTGATTTTCAGGGCCGCTCGGGAGTCGCCGCTCGGTATCAGCCATCGCGGCGAGTGGTCACCCAGCCTCCGGTTTCCTTTTGGTGATTCAGAAGGGAAACTGCTCCAGCCGCTGCTGCTGCTCCCCGGCTTGGGCAGCGCCGGCCGGTTTGGTCGGCCCGTTGGGTACTGGTGACGCCACCCCCGGGTGCCGACACCCCCTCACAGAGTCCTCGCAGGAGGACAGCTCCAGGGCCTCCGGCGTGTGGGGTCCTGAGCCGCCGCAGGCACCGCCCTCGCGGCTCCTCCCCCCTCCCCGTCAGGCCTCCCCAGCTTTAGTTCATGGGCTTGGGGCGAGACCCTCCCGTCCATGCCAGAGCCACCCCCCTCCTGGCCCCCCGGCCTCGGGATGCCCTTCCCAGCAGCAGTGTCAGGGGTGGTGACAGCGGCTGCCTGGACCTTCTATCTAGGACCCCCGGCCTCAGGGAGCCGGTTGTCTTGTCCAGCCCTGCGGACAGGAGACCGTCCTGTCCACTTTACAGATGGGGTCACTGAGGCCCGAGCCCCACAGCACAGCCCCGCCACGCGGCCACGCACTGGGGATCTGGGCTGAGCGCCTGAGCTTGGGGCAGGTCCAGGTCCTCCGCCAGCTCAGCTGTGACACCCCGTGGCCTGGGTCAGACCCACCGGGTCTCCACCACAGACGGAGAGTTCCAGAACGTGGACTATCCCTGATGTGTGGTTCCCACTGAGGTCTGGATATGTGTTTCCTTGGCGATGGTGAGGGCAGGGCCTCCGTGGGTCCTGGCCTCCTGCACCTCCTCCTGGAGGGACACCCCCTCAGCCCCGGTCCATCCCGCGGGTGGCTGGGCTGCGGTGTGTGGGCGTGAGGGGTCTCGTCACCAGGCCCAGCAGATGGCCGTCAGCTGCACGTCCGCTCCGAGGGCCGCCGGCCCTTTCTGGGTGACCTTGGACACTCATCAGGCGTTAGCGTCTATGAAGCTGGATTTTCCCCTGTTGTTCCGTGGCCCTTTGGCTTTTGGGGCCATGAAGATGTACCCCTGAGTTTTCTTCTAAGAGTTTTGTGCTTTTAGCTTTTACAGTGAAGTCTGTTTAGTGGGGAGACCCTCCTGGGGTGTGTCCCACATGGGCTGCACACAGGCCACGCAGGTGCAGTTCAGGGCACTCTCACCTGCTGGACGAGCCAGGAAACCAGCAGAGAGCAGCCCAGCACCCACCCCCGCCCCCGCCGCCCGCCAGGGCAGCTGTCCCGGCCTGGGGACACAGACTCTTGCCCCCTGCCTTGAACCTGGTAACGTGGGGCTGCGCTTCATGTCTGGGAACTGGGCCATCAGAGGCGTCCTGGAGGGCTCAGGGTGTGGGCAGAGAGGGTGAGGACGGGGCACCTGGCACCCCCGGCGTCTGGAGCACCAGGCAGGCATGGAGCAGCCCCAGGGCCGGGTCCCTAGACGCCACCCGCTCGGCCCCTGCCTGCCGTGTGGCCTCTCTTGGCTCCTCCGGAGACGCAAACTGCCTCACAGCGGCGTGTCAGCGTGCAAGGTGCGTCTGTTCCGGATGCAGAAACTTGGCTGCGGTGCTCTTATTTTTGGAGCCTGAGGCTCTGCCAGGTGCTGGGGTGGGTGCAGCAGCGCCCTCATGTGGCCGGGGCATCTCCTGCTCGGCCCTCATCCCCGCAGGCGGTCGGCTTCAAGCCTGTCGTCTTACAGATGTCCCCGAGGGTCCTCCCTGAAGGGGCGCAGGGTGTGGGCCGGGTCGGGGTGCTCTGTGGGGAGCCAGCATTTGACAGCCAGGTCATTTCTGCTTTGGAGGATTGGGGGCCTTCCGGCCCCCTTTTACACACCAGGAGGGGAGTGCTGCTCCCCTCAAGCCCACCCTCCAGGGCTCACTGCCGGGGGGGAAAATGACCCCAAGTAATCGCCAAGCCTGGGAAGGGCACAGAGGGAGCCCAGATCAGGAGGCACCGGGGGGCTCTGGGAGGGTGGCCTTCGGGGTGCATGAGCTATGTCGGGGTGGCGGGGGGAGGGTACGAAGGGCACTCTGTGCAAAGGGCTTGGCGCGTGCAAAGGCCCATCCTGGAGCATCCAGGATGCTCCAGGATGCTGGGGTTCAGCTGCTGCTTCTGGGGAGAATCCCTTGGCCAGGATGCCGGTGGACGCGTGGCTCAGCACACGGGGCACCCAGCAGAACAGTGTGTGCTGACCCGGGGCCCCGGGCTTCGTCGCCGGCCCGGTGGAGAAGGGAGAGGGGCAGAGGCTTACGGCGCACGTTACCGCTTCACTGACAGCCGGGCCGCGTGATCACCGGTTCCTGCGCGGGCAGAGGCGCTTCAGCTTCTCCCATCTGGGAGAGGCGGCCTGGAGTCCGCGCCCCCGCCTGCCCCCGCACTGGGGACGCCCCCAAGTGATGCGAATGCAGTGCACGGGGGGCGACTTTCTTTTGCACAGTGTAGAAATAAGCCGCCGGTCAGTGTAACGTGTTCAGGTGACTCCAGGGTTCCCGTTTTAACCTAAACTCATGAATTTTAAGGATTATAAAAATAGTAAATGCTAATCGAGAAAATTGGGTAATACAGAGACACAAAAGCAAAATCCTCATCCTTTCCCGCCCTCCCTTCCGGGCTGTCCGCCCCCACCTGCCTCGCCCCCGTCCCCTCCCCCTCCCCCTCCCCCTCCTGCCCACCCCGAGATGCAGAGGCGGAGGGGCCCACCCTTGGTCGGCCGCCCTGGGCTGGGGGAGGGGGGTTTCTGCTCCACCCCTGGCCCGGCAGGCGTGAGCGTGGTTCCGTGCCCAGCAGCCTGGACGCCCATCCCCCGCCCGGCTCTGTCCCTGGGCCGTCCGTCCAGCCCCGTGGCGGCCCCTGTCACGCACCAGGCCGGCACGCCCGCGCCCCTGCAGCCCCAGGTCGTGCCCAGGGCGGGGCGGGCGGCCATGCGATCGCCCTCTGCCGTGTCTCCGCAGGCGGGGGAGAAGCACTTCCACCCGGCGTGCGCGCTCTGCGTCAGGTGCGGCCGCATGTTCTCGGAAGGGGAGGAGATGTACCTGCAAGGTGAGAGCACAGGGGCCCGCGCAGGCGGGAGGGAAGCAGGCGCGAGGCGGGCCGGAGGGGCCCTGTGGGTGTGGTGGCTGGCTGTGGCGACGCGGACATGACCGACCCTGAGCACGGAGCGGTGAGGACCCGGGCCCCCCAGTAAGGTTGACGCCCCCAAACGGAACCACTCGTGCGACCGCTGGCCACGTCACTCACCCGCGCGGACAGGCGCCGTGTCCGCGTGGGAAAGTGGGTGGAGAGAAGGACACACAGGAGGAGGCCACGGGGGGCACCCGGGCCTCACTGCGGCCCGCGGGCATCAGGGTTGGCCGTGTCGTCCCTCACAAGCCCGAGCTCACCCTCCCCGCTCCAGGAGGCCCGTGGTGGGCGGGACGGCGCCTCCCGGCAGCCCCACAGAGCTGGGCCCACGGGGAAAGCTGGAGCAGGGTGGCTGACCGGCCGGCAGGTGACGGGGCCCAGGCAGGGTGAGAGCAGCAGGCTGGGGCCGGCCAGGCTCTCCCCAGTGACCAGGTCTCCGGTGTAGGAGGCCCGTTGTGCAGGCCTGGGAGGGGCGGGCAGGGGCTGGCACACAGGGCCCCGCAGGCCGCTGTGCAGGTGTCAGGCCCAGTGACGACACCGGGAGGCCTGGGCTGGTGTCGCCTGTTGTTCCTCGAGTCCTTGGGCCCTGGTGGTGGGTGCTGGGTGTCGGCCTCACTGATGCTGCACAGTCGCACCACTCGGCTCCAGACGCGCTCTCCAAGGTCCTGGTCTCAGGACAAAGATGGCTTCACGTCCTGGACTGAGACGGTGCCCAATTCTGGGGCTGCCCTGGCCCTCTGTGGGGCGATGAGCCTGACTCTGGGCCCAGCTCTCTGGTCCTGGTCTCCAGGCCCTGTCACGGCTGGGTCCCGCAGCCGGGGCTTCTCTTGGGGCTCAGACCACCCCCCCGCCCCGGCCTGGTCACCTCAATGTCTCTTCCTGTGTAATTAGAGACTGATGTGCACCCCGACTTGTTTGGGGGGCGCAGGAGTCGCGCAGACCTGCCCCACCTCCACGCGTGCACCTGAGTGAAGCAGCGGCTGGAGCAGAATGGGTGTGAGGAGGGCGGCTGGGTCCGGGGAGGGTGCTGGGATCCTCAGGGCGAGTGAGAGCCCGAGGCCGCTGCTCTCTCCTGCCGCAGGCCCGCGTCTCGGGTGGACACTAACCGTCCCGTCTGTCCGCAGGGTCCTCCATCTGGCACCCGGCGTGTCGGCAAGCAGCCAGGACTGAAGACAAGAGCAAGGTGCGCAGGGTCACCGTCCTTGCCGGTGCATGTCCGCCTCTTGATAGAGCCGGGTGACCGCTGACCAGCAGGCGGGCTTCCTGCCCAGCCCCCTGGGCCGTGAGCAGGGGCACAAGGTCCTGGGGTTGCAGTATCAGCTGAGGGGCAGTGGGGGCCCCGTGCTGGCCTCCTGGCCCCTTGGCCATTCATCACACACCGATGCCGTGAGGCTTGGAGTCAGCTGGGAGGGTGGCAGGTCCCGGCCCCGAGGCCGCGCGCCCCTCATGCCAGCTGCAGTCCCAGGCCGGGCTGTCCAGGTGCAGGAGTTTGTAAGGGGATTCCCAAGATGTGCGGAGGCTCCCGTCGCAGTTGGGGTTTCTTTCAGGGGAGGACGGGTGTGAATCAGCCCAAGGCCCCGGGACAGGCGCGTGGGGCAGCACCAGCCCCCGCCTCCTGATGGAGTCGGGACAAACTTCCTCCCGGCACCCACAGGGCAACACGTGCCCCGAGTGTGCCCCCTCCGGGGACCTACTGGGGCTCCACTTGCTCACTGACCGACTGCATGGTTGACTCACACCCCAGGGCCACTCTGGGTCACGTGGTCATGCTGCTGTGGCTTGTTCTGGGGTAACAGCTGGACTCTAGAATCCAAGGTCAGGCAACAAGGGACAAAGGGAAGCTGGTGGCCCGGGAGGGGCAGGGGCTTGGCTGCCTGGGCCTGCCGCCCCCCGGGGCCACAGGGCCACCACCCCCATGTTGGCTGAGTTCTCAGAACCGCCCCTGGGTTTCTGTAACCTGTCAGGCTAGTGCAGGATGAGACTTAGGTGGGGGGACCCGCCTGCTCCCCAACCCGAGTGCTGGGGACAGGTGAAACCCTCAGGTTCCCAGCCCTGGGGAGGACTCGGGGCTCCCATGCTGGCCAGGGCTGGTGCTTGGTGGCTTGGACTGAGCGGCTGGCCCTGCGGTTCCCCACCCCCACGGCCTGGAGATCTGAGCCAAGGAACCAGGGAGGAGCCGAGTCCCTGCCTTTACCCTGCGGCCGAGAGGCCCGCTCCCGAGGAACAGGGCAGCGTCCTGACGCGACAGGAGGAGCCTTGCCCTGGTGCTGGCTCTCTGCCCCCAGCCGTGTGGCCTGGACCAGCCGCTGGCCCCTCCGCGCCTCGGCCCGCGGTGTTAGCGGGGAGAGAGGGGCGGGCCCTGCAGCCTGTGCTGGGTGAGTCCTGGCGGAGTTGCAGGGCTGGGCTGTGGCCTGTGGTGCTCCCTGGGCCCAGGCCAGCTGCTACAGGGCTGGGGCCGGGGTCTCTGGGGTCTGGACGAGGCCCACGAGCAGCTGTGGATGCCGAGTGTGGCCGTGGGGCCCTCTGGGAGATTGGCGTCAGCGTGGGGAAGGTGAGCGGCCCCGTGTGGCTGACCACCCCCCAGCGCTCACTGGATGGAGGCGCTCTGCTCACAGGATGGGGCCCAGCCCCCGAGGCGTGTCGTGCGCCCCACCCCGCTCTTGCTCAGGAGTCCCTTCAGTGTGCTGGGCCACGGCCGAGCCCTTGTCACCAGCGGGCAGTGCCCCCCCAGGGCCAGCCCCGCGCAGCTGCAGCTCCCGCCCATTTGCAGAGCCAGGGCTTCCTGTCTGAGCCCACAGGGACGTCAAGTCACGGGGACTCCTGAGCCCCACGGCTCCCCTCTGACCTGACCCTCACCTTCAGGGAGGAAGGAGGAGGAAGCTGAGAATCAAAGGGCTTTTTAAAATGTGACGCGTTTATCACGTCGTTTCTGGTCAGGCAAATAGGCGCCTGGTCACAGGCAGGAGACAGCCCGTGTCCCCGCCGCGGAGCGGTGCCGCTGTGCAGAAAGCAGGTGACTCAGGAGTGGCTGGAGTCCAGGCCTGCGCTGCCTGAGTCTGTGGGGAGACCCCGCCCTGCCTGCCCATGTCTGAGGGCGCAGGCAGACCCTGTGAACCCCCATCCCTGCGCAGAACTGGACGCTAAGGGGGGCCTCCAGGGGACGGGGGAGCAGGCGAGGGGCAGGGGCAGGAAGAGCTGCTGTCACGGAGGGCGGGGCAGGGCCGGGGGAGTGAGCTGCGGAGGCGGGCGGGGGTCACCGTCTCCTCTTCTCTCTCCTTCTAGATGCAGAACCAGGTCAGCAGCCAGGCTCACCCGGGCACCACCCCCTGTGCCTTACAGGTGCGTGCTCCTGGGTGTGCCCTTCCGGCCGGCCCTGGTCTTGTCCCTTCCTGCCCAGTGAGGAGGGTTGGGCTGTGCCCGGAAAGGGCGGCATCTCCAGGCCTGGGGTCAGGGGGCTGCTGACACTGGCCAGGGGGCCCCCACCACAGACCCCTCCGCTGGCTGCAGGCGACGCCCAGGGCCAGGCACAGCCGGCGGCTCCCCGGGCCTCCTCTTGGGTGGGGGCCGCGTCCCCTCCTGTGCCCTGCGGGACGGTCCCCCTGCCTGCCTGCCTGCGTCCTCTCCTCTCCTCCCAGGGACCCTGCAGACATGTGTCCCGGTCGCTCGCCCCGAGCACTTCTCTCCAGGGCCCCGTGTCCTGCAGACAGTGCTGGCAGGCGTGCGGGTGTGCGGGGGGATGGCCGCCTCTGAAGGCCCGGGGCGCTGGCCCCTGTATCCAGGCCCTTCCTCCCCCCCTAGGAGACCAGGACCTCCTCGGAGAGCATCATCTCCGCACCCGCATCTAGCACCTCAGGATCCCCGAGCCGTGTGATTTATGTAAGTTGGAGGCTGTGGGGTGGCAGGGCCAGGGTCTAGGGTTGCAGCTGCGCAGCCCCTTGGGGCCCGGGGGCGCCGGGCGGGATGGCGTCAGGAGGTGAGCCTCGGGGGCGGGCAGGCGGCCTGACTGCAGGTCCGTATGTGGGCCTGAGCTCGGCGGTGCCGCTGTGTGTGTGTGTGTGTGTGTGTGTGTGTGTGTGTGTCTCTGTGTCTCTGTGTCTGTGTGTGTGTGTCTGTGTGTCTGTCTGTCCAGTTTGCTCCCAAATGACGCTGGCTAGGGTGGCGTCCATCGGCCACCGTCTCATTGTTAATGAGTGTGTGAGCGCGGCGTGGGTGCGAGTGGGGTGCTCAGGTGTGTGCGCCTGTGCATGTAGGGCCGTGACTGCGCGCGCGTGCGAGGGAGATGGCCGTCCTGGCCCACTGCCCGCAGCCCTTGCCCGCGGTGGCCGGAGCAGAGGGGCTGTTGCGTGTCCCTGCTGGCGCGTCCCTGCACGCTCGGGAGCTGGACCCCGCGGCCCGGGGCTGACCCTCAGGCTGCCGCAGCGAGGGGCTGCGTCCTCAGGTGGGTTTTACCGACCGGCCTGCTTTCCTCCCAGGCGAAGCTGGGGGATGAGATCCTTGACTACAGAGACCTGGCCGCGCTCCCCAAGAGCAAGGCCATCTACAACATCGACCGCCCCGACATGATCTCCTACACGCCCTACGTCAGCCACTCGGCGGGGGACCGGCAGAGCTACGGCGAGGTAGGCCAGCATGGGCGTGCCCGCCCTGGACGCCGGCCGCCTCCCGCAGCAGCTGGGGACCCTGGCCTTCGGGGGCTCCATGGGAGCTGGCTGGTGCCCAGGAGGCCCGGATGTGGCGCCCTGATGTGGTGCCCGACATCAGCCCGCTTCCAGGCGACTTTCACGGAGTGTCCCAGGCGTCCTTTCTCTAACTCCCAGGGCTCCTGGTCCCGCGGTCCTTGCCCGCCACGCTGCCCCTCTGTCCTCAATCCTGACGGACTCCCCCAGCCCCTGTAGCTGGGCGCCTTGTGGGGACGTCTCTCCCCACCACCTCCCCCACTTAGTGTGGGCAACTGTGGGCTTCCCGTCTCTCGTTGGCTTGAGGGCCTCTGTGTCGGGGCGCCAGCCGCCTTGAGAGCTGTTTGCTCGTGGGTGGCCACCCCGAGCTCCCCGGAGTGCCCTGAGTGTACCTGAGTGTGCCCGCCACTGTACCAGAGTGCCATGAGTATGCCCCCACTGTCCCGGAGTACCCTGAGTGTACCCCCACCATCACAGAGCACCATGAGTGTGCCCCCACTGTCACATGCTCTCAAGAGCCGACAGAGGTCACTTGGGGCTGTGGTGCGGGTGCCACGCTGGGCACTGGGCACTGGGTAGGGCAGGTATAGAGGCCCCACTTCCTTGCTCAGTGGTCAGCGGGTGACCCTCCTGGTGGATTTCTGCCTCGGTGCTGTGCTTCTCTGGGCCCTGAGGACTGGGTGCTGAGCCCCACTAAAGTGGGCTGGAGAGCAGGCCAGGGCGGAGGGTCCCCGCACCCCTTACCTGGGGCTTCACTGCCCAGCCTCTGGCCTGAGCTCCAGCAAAGCTGCTGGAAGAAGCTAAGTTGCTTGACCACAGCCCCGACAGTGAGCAGCATTGCTGAGGCCAGGACCAGGCCTTCTGCCTTCAAAACCACTGTTGGCTTTCCTTAACCCCACCGCGCCCTGCTCAGGCAGCCCGGCCTGAGCCTCCCCATGGAGCCCAAGGTTCCTGTGCAGATTCCCTGGCCTCTAGGCAGGCAGCACATGCTCGAGGGGACACCCTCCATCCCGTGCCTGCGGGTCAGCACAGAGCAGGGCGCGCGGACAGCCGAGCTGCCGCGTGGGATCCAGCCATGTGCATTGGGGCATGTCTGAGGACATGAGGCCCAGAGGCCCGTGCTCAGGGGCAGAGCTGGACTCGAACCTGGGGCCGACTGAGTCTCCACGCCTGCTTCAGCCACTGCCCAGAGCTGTCTGGCCCCCGCTGTATTCACCCCACACCCAGGGCCCTGGGGCACCCAGCTGGGAGCCTAGGGGTGGCCCCCAGGGCAGGGAGCCTTCTCTGGCCTGGAAGCCCCAGGCCAGCGGGTCGGGGCTGAGCCGAGCAGAAGCTGGCCATGGCTGTGCATCTCCTCCAACTCCTTCAAGCCCAGAACCCCGGCAGAGGGCCACGGGAAGGAGAGTGGGCGCGGCTTGGAGCCCTGGCTGCCTCTCCGGGCCTTAGTTTCCTCTCTGTATAAGGGGGAGGTGGGGAAGACCTTCCCCTTCCAGTCTAAGGGGAGGAGAGGAGCATGAGGAGACCGGCCTGGCTGCCCGGGCTCCTGGGAGCTGCACGGCATCTTCCCGCCTGGCCAGGTGTGTGGGTGGGAACCCCAGTTCTGGGCCTCTTCTGGGGCTGAGCGGGGCTGGCCCTCCCCGCCTCCCCCCGGCCCCCGGCTCTGGATGGCCGGTACGTCCTCTGGTCCCCTTTCCTCCATGTTCTGGGGGAAACCCATGGCGATGTGCTCACGGGTGCGGCCCCCGAGCCCCGGGTCTTCGTTTCTGGAAAACACGCCTCGGTGGGAGGCTGGCCGGCGCCGGGAGGAGAGGGGCGCCAGGACCGCGCGACACGCGTCTCCTGGCCCCGTCTCTGTCTCTCTCCGCTGACCGCATGCTGCAGAACCACAGCCCGAAGCCTCCTGACTCACGGGCCTCGTTCCTGGCGGGGGCGGGGCTGTCGCGTGGCCATCCTGCCCCTCATGGCCGTCCTCCCCCGCGTGAGCGTCCCCCCCACCCCCGCGGCTGGGGCCCCGCTAACAGGCGACCTTGTGTGTTGTGTCCACAGTCCGCTCAGGTGCCCTCGCCAACGCTGACCGAGGTAACCGCCCACCCCTGCCTGCACTGCCCCTGCTCGCACCTCGGGGTCACAGAGTGACCGTCCCCAGAGCCCCGACACGGCCCTGCCAGCCGGGCCAGGCCGGCTCCATGCTTGGGGGTGCCCCGGCTGGTTATCCCTGCCATCGCCTCTCCCTGCGTGCTTGCCTGGCACCTTGCCGGCCCCGCGATGTGGCAGCGGGACAGGCCTCGGGGTCCCATGGCCTCCTTCAGAGGAAATCACAAGCCCGGGAGGATGCAGCCACCCGGTGCCGCCCAGCAGGACAGTCTCCCCGCTGGCCTCTGTGGCCGCAGCCTGGTTTCTGCCCCGCTGCTCTAGTGGACAGGTGAGGTGGAGGCCTCGTTGGCCTCCCTCTGCACTCAGGGCACCCAGGAGGCAGAGGGGTTCCAGCTCAGGCTGCACCCCACCCACCCCCAGGGCCACCCCTGGCCATGGCCACCCCCGGCGCCTCAGCTCACTCGCTTTGCGATTCCTGCCTGGGGGACCATGGCAGTGTCAGGCCGGGGCAGGGCCCTCACGCCTGCGCGGGGACCTGGGGGAGGTGGAAGCTGCTCTTAGGCAGCCCGACGGCTTGCAGCGCCTCTGGGCTGTGGCCACCCTGGTGGGCCAGTGTGCACCCACCATCTGAGCGCACAGCCTGCAGGCCTGGGGCCAAGGTCCCGGCCTGCCTGCTCTCCCTGCCCCCTCCCAATGCGGCTCTGGGGGAGTCCCTGGAGGGCCACCTCCCTGTTCCCCAGCACGCCCCGGCCCGCCCTCCTGACACCCCGGAGAACATAATCTTCTGCGGAGGCCCCTGCCTGGCTTCTCCACTACCCTCAGTCATGGCCCCTTCGTGTCGGAGAGGGGCCGGGGAGGCTGCCCTTTGACCCTGATGGTGTCCTTCTGTCGGGGAGAACTTGCCTGGCCAGCCAGTCTGTCGGCATCAAATCCTTGGGTCCATTTATGGGACAAGCTAACATGCGAGTGACCAGCCAGCCATGAACGTCCACCCCATGCATGGCTGGTGAGCCTGTGGACAGGCCAGCAGAGGAGGCAGGGCCTGGAGGCCGCAGGGAATGCCCGGGCACGTGACTGGACAGCAGGCTCCAGCTGCCTGTCCTGGGTGGGGCAGGCCAGAGGGCACAGAGGCAGGACCTGGTGGGGGCTGATAGGGTGGGGCGGGCCTGAGCGGCTGGAGGGGGACACAGGGCTGGAGGGACAGTGCCTTGGGTGGTTCCGCTGAAGAGCGAGCCCGAGAGGCAGAGGTGACCTCGGAGAGACTCTGGAGCCATGAGCACCAGACCCGGCCTGGAGGCTCATCCCCACGCCGGCGGGCAGCACAAAGCAGCGGCACCCACCCCGCAGCCTGACGCTGGCCGAGTGGGCTGGGGCTGGCCCTGCTCTCCCGCCCCGTGCCGCACCCTCCCACCAGCTGTGTCCACCCTGGCTGGCCTCCCCCGCTTGAACTGCTCTGCATCGTGGGCTCCCAGGGCCTGACCTGGTGGCGTTTCAGTCCTGGGAGGATCCCCTGCCTGCCCTCATCTCCACCCCGAGGTGGGGAGCCCCATGGCCGCAGGGGAGAACAGAATCTCAGTGGTTCTCAAACTCACTGAGTTCAGGGAGCCTGGGGTGCCGGAGGGTGGGCAAGAGGGGAACGGAGGGGTGTTGCTGGAGCAGCGTCCCTCACCTCCTCCTCCGTAGGGGTCTCAGCCACAGGAGGAGCTGATGGAGGGTGGGCGGGGCCAGCCCCCAGCACCTGGTGGGCGCAGGGACCAGGTGCTGGCTGAGGAGAGTGTCCATGCCCAAGTCAGGCCTCCCCTGACTTCAGGTGTGGGCTTCACTTGGGGTGTGTGTGCTCGGCCCTTGGGTGCCGAGAGCAGATGCCCGTTGCGGGGGGGCAGGCAGATGGGCAGGCGCTCACCAGGGCCGCGCTCTCCTCCCAGGGGGACCAGGACGATCGCTCCTACAGGCAGTGCCGGACCTCCAGCCCCAGCTCCGCCGGGTCGGTCAGCCTCGGGCGCTACACGCCAACCTCGCGGTCGCCCCAGCACTACAGCCGACCAGGTACTCGGGCCTGGGCTTGGCCCAGCAGCGCTGCGCCTCCTGCTGTTTTTCCTCGATGAGTCTGTCTCCTGCTCTGCGCAGCTGGAAAAACTACGAGCAGGGTGGGGGCGGCGGGACTGGGGTCCATCGGCAGCTCCTTAGAGAAAGGCCCTCTCCCTCCGGGTAGAGCGCCCTGCGGGGCACTGGCAGCCGTGGTCAGAGCCGGCGGCAGAGTGCGCCGGGCGGCAGGCGCTTAGGGCCCAGCTCGTGCTCCGCTAGCAAGAGGTGTTGTGGCGAACGGCGCGAGTGTGGCGACCAGGAGGGTCCTGAGCGCCCGCGGTTCTGGGCAGGCTGGGTGGACCCCAGCCTGGTGGCAGGCAAATGGGGTCAGGCAGCCACGGACACGCCACCTGGAGCAGAGCAGCTGGGGAGGGGCCACTGCCAAGCCCTCCAGCATCAGGGCCTCCGGGGAGGCCCCCTCACCCCATTTCACCTCCTTCCTGCCAGCTGTGTCCTGCTCCCCCAAAGCTTTGAAAGCCCCTCGTCCCCTCAGCATGCCAAGGCCACGGGGCGCTTCACACAGACCCAGCCTTTTTGAGGGAGTTTTCCAAGCCACTTCCTCCTCTGCCAGCTGCTGCGTGACCCCGGCTTTCACACGCAGGCACTGGAGCTGACCTTGGCAGGCTTTGAGGAAAATCAGTCACTCACTCGCAAAATGATTTTAATTGAATGTGCACGTACGTCCTGCTCAGTAGACGTTGGGAGAGGAGATGGGAGAGTGAGGCCTGAGGAGAGAGGAGAGAGGGGTGAGGAGAGAGGAGAGAGGAGACAGGAGTGAGGAGAGAGGGGTGAGGAGAGAGGGGTGAGGAGAGGGGTGAGGAGAGAGGAGTGAGGAGTGAGGAGAGAAGGGTGAGGAGAGAGGGGTGAGGGGAGAGGGGTGAGGAGAGAGGGGTGAGGAGAGAGGGGTAAGGAGAGAGACAGGAGTGAGGAGAGAGGGGTGAGGAGAGAGGAGACAGGAGTGAGGAGAGGGGTGAGGAGTGAGGAGAGAGGAGTGAGGAGAGAGGAGAGAGGGGTGAGGAGAGAGGAGTGAGGAGAGAGGTGAGGAGAGAGGAGACAGGGGTGAGGAGAGAGGAGAGGGGGTGAGGAGAGAGGGGAGAGAGGGGTGAGGAGGAGGAGGGGTTGAGAGGGGTGAGAGAGAGTGAGGGGTGAGGGGAGAGGGGTGAGGAGAGAGGGGTGAGGGGAGAGGGGTGAGGAGAGAGGGTGAGGAGTGAGGGGTGGGGTTGAGGGAGAGGGGTGAGGAGGAGGAGGGGTGAGGGGGAGAGCGGGTGAGGGGAGAGGGGTGAGAGAGAGGCGTGATGAGGTCCATGACGAATGAGGGGTGAGGGGAGAGGGGTGAAGGAGAGAGGGGTGAGGAGAGATGAGGAGGAGAGAGGGGTGAGAGGGAGAGGGTGAGGGAGAGGGGTGAGGAGAGAGGAGGAGAGGGGAGAGGGGTGAGGGGTGAGGGGAGAGGGGTGAGGGGAGAGGAGGGGAGAGGGGAGAGGGGAGAGGGGAGAGGGGTGAAGGGTGAGGAGAGAGGGTGAGGGGAGAGGGGTGAGGAGAGAGGAGGAGAGGGGTGAGGGAGAGGGGTGAGGGGAGAGGGGTGAGGAGAGAGGGGTGAGGAGAGAGGGGTGAGGAGAGAGGGGTGAGGAGAGAGGGGTGAGGGGAGAGGAGAGAGAGAGAGGGGTGAGGAGAGAGGGGAGAGGGGTGAGGGGAGAGGGGTGAGGGGAGAGGGGTGAGGAGAGGAGGAGAGGGAGAGGGGAGAGGGGTGAGGGGAGAGGGGTGAGGAGAGGGGTGAGGGGAGAGGGGTGCGAGAGTTGGAGAAGTTGTGTGTGGAGTGCCTGGCGCATGCGTGGTGAGTGGGGGTGCGTGGTGGGGGAGCGAGGACTGACCGGGTGAGCGCAGGGGGTGAGAAGGTCCACGCGAATGAGCGATGAGTGAATGAGTGTGTGAGAGAAGAAATGAGTAACTGCAGGAGCGGAAATGAGCGAGCAAATGGCGAGTGACTGAACAAATAAATCTGTGATGGGATGAGTGAGTGGTGAGTGCAAGGGGTGCGCGAGGAGCAGCGCATGAGGGCGTGCGGGCGTGAGCGGCAGGTGAGTGAGTGCTCGAGGGGCGGGTGACCCCCCCCCCCGAGTGTCCCCTCTAGGAACCCCTCTGCTGACCTCTGGTCTCTGGATTTCTTGTGACCTGGGCTTGCTGGCCGAGCCTGGCCGGGGTCACCCCAGGAGCCCGCCCGAGCTGGGCCGTCCGCGGGGCGGGCCTCCTCGCGGAGCCCGGAGCAGCCTGGCCTCTGTCTGGTGGCTTCCCTCAAAAGGCACCCCCCGGAGGGGCTAAAATGTTCCTAGGGGCGCAGCCTAGGAATATTTTGTGCCTGTGACCCAGGCGCAGCCTCTGACGCGCTCTCTGTCGCCCCCAGCTGGCACTGTGAGTGCTGGTACCAGTAGCTGCCTGTCCCTGTCCCAACACCCAAGCCCTACATCCGTGTTCCGACATCATTACATCCCCTACTTCCCAGGTAAGGCGCGCAGGGCCGCGGGCGGGGCGTCGGCCGCACGTCTGTGTCTCCGTCCTGTGTCACCGCATGGCTCCCGGCCCGTGTCCCTGCCTGCGCCCTCGCGGTGTGTCCGTGCGTCCGGCCGGGCCTGTGTCGCTGTGTGAATGTCGCTGGAGGAAGGGGTTGGCCGCTTGCCCTGAGAGCCGGGGACGCCAGGCGAGGTGGAGGGGAGAGCCGGCTGGGTCCCGGACGCCCAAGCCTGTGGCTCCCCGAGGCCCCGGCAGCAAAGTTGGGCGCAGCCGGGTGGTCAGGACAGGCGCGGGGTGCAGGCGGGCTGGCCTGTGCACAGCCTGAGTGCTCGTGGGGTTCAGCCGGCCACTGCCCCACGCAGCGCGGGCTCCAGGCGCAGACCCACCGCCAGCCCTGCCCCTGCACGGACCTAGCGTGGACCGCCCCCGGGGACAGCTGGCCCTCTGCTTCCCCATCTGTTGTGGTCCCCGAGTTCTTAGGCTGCAGCCCCAACCCCGTGTGACCGTAGCTGGAGAAAGGACCGGTAGAGTCTCTTAGGGGAGCCTGAGAACTAAGGGGAGCCCTGACCGATAGGCCTGGAGGCCTGGCTCTGGGAGAGGGCCCCGCAGCCAGGGCGAGGGCGCTCGTGAGGCCCAGCAGGCCCCGACACGGGACCCCCGTCTCCAGACCCGCGTGAGTGTCCTGCTGACCAGGACACCAGGAGCCATGCTCCATGTCTGACCAGCAAGAGGACGTCCTTGGTGGCCCGAGACGTGCCAGCTGCTGCCCCGCACACTGCCAGGGGCTGGAGTCGGGGCACCCTCTGTCCTGAAGGCAGCTGCTCGGTCACCCCATCGTCACCTGAGGGCTGGGAACTCCTCCCCTGCGGGCTGTCCTCGCCTGAGAACTGCCCCCACCACCTGTCCACCTGCCCCTGCCCTCTGGACTCGCAGCTCTTGGAAGAAGCCCTGTGAGCGGGCTGGAGAGCATCTGGGGCCTCTGCCCGCCTCACTCGGCCTGCGGCGAGTGGCCCGGGCGTGCCCGCTGCAGCACGGACAAAGCTCTCCCAGCCCGGCCGTCTCCCTGCCCAGAGGGATGACCGTGCCCCTCTGCTCCAGCGTCTGCAGGCCCCAGCGCGGCTGCCTCCACCAGGGGGCCTGCTCCCCGCGGGACTACCACGCCAGTGTCCCTGCTAGACATGCGGCCCCGAGACCGGCCAGGCGCGGGGGCGGCCACTGTCCTTGCTGCTCCCGTCCCTCCCCGGGCAGCCCCTGTCCAGCTGGAGCCGGAGCCAGCGAGCCTTGTGGCTGCTCCTCTGAACTCTTCCCGGCCCAGGGCACCGCCCGGCACCTCTGACCCGCCGTGCGGGGATGACGCCGTCCGCCACGTGTCCCCTGCCTCTGCCGCCATCTCTGCCCTGCCTTCCCGCTGACGGCTTTGGCCGCCGGTTTCCTGTCCAGAGATCAGAGGAAGCCCTGCCCTCCTCCCGGCTCCGGGGTCCTGGGAGGACAAGGGCGCCGGGGGGTGGCCTGTGCTGAGAGGGCAGGCGCCGGCGGAGGGACCCGCGGGAGCCGCCCGCGCCGCTGCCAGACCCGCCCCACCGCCGCGCTCCCGACCTCACGAGGGCCTGGCCCACCCTCCCTCTCGGAGGCAGCGCCACCTCGGTCCAGCGCCACCTCCAGGAGAAGCCCCTGGCCCTCGGGGGTTTTGTGTCTTTCAAAGTCACCCGCCCTGACTCTCCTCCGCTGTCTCCAGTCCCGACACCACCGCTTGGTTTCCACCTGGAAGGTCCCGGGAGGGAGCCGGAGCCGCCCCCAGAGCGGCAGAGGCTAGGAGGTGTGTTGACTGGCCTGGGCCAGGCCCCGCCCACAGTCCCCCACCCATGGCGGCCCCCATCCCGGCCCTGGGGCAGGCTAGGCAGAGCACACCCCGGCCCTTGCTGGGCGCGTTGGTTATGCGGAGCCCCAGTGGCCAGGCCAGGCCAAGTCGAGGAGGGGGGCGTGCACCCGGTGGAGGGGCCGTGCACCCAGCCTTGAGCCCGAAGCGTCCAGACACGTTGGTCAGTCGGGAGGACTGGGAAGGGGCCCAGGTGAGAAGGGGGCGGGGTCTGCAGCCCAGCGGCAGGTGATGCCCCAAGTCGGCATCCTCCCCTCTTGGGGCCACACAGGGGCTCTCCCCGCCTGCTTTGCCACTCCCGGGGCTGGATCCCCACAAGCCATGTGGTGGCTCAGCCTTCCTTTAAGTGCCTGAGGGCGTCTCCCCACCAGGCTCCGGGACAGCCCAGAGACCTCTGCTCCTGGGCGGAGAGACTGGCCTGGGCTGAGGCTGCAGAAGGCTGCGGGGGTGGGGGGTGGCCCAGGGGAAAGCCGCTCACAGCTGAGGGGCAGCCTGTCCGTCAGCACCTGCAGGCGGGGGTGGCCCCACGCCCAGCACAGGACGCGCAGGAAGCTGCTGTCCACAGCCCCTCTGTGCCTCAGCCCGGTTTGCCCCAAGCTGACCCCTCCTGCCCCTGGGGTCCTCCCGGCCCCCAACCCCAGCATCTTCCCCTGAAGTCCCTGGCGTCCACCTCCAGGCCCGGCACCGCCGTCGCCCTGCCCTCCGGTTGCTGCTCAGCACAGCTCGAGGGGCGCATGAGTCCCAGCGCCCTTGCCGCTTGTCACGCGCCCCGAAGGTGGCGGATACCGGGCTGGCTGGGACCAGCCGTGTCCCTTGTCGTCCGTGTGTCCATGCCTGCCTTCCGTCCCTCACGTGGCTCCTGAGTGTGTGCGGGTGCGGGGCGCGGCCTGGCACCGAGGCATCCACATGGCCAACGGCAGCAGCACCTCCAGGCAGGGCGGGAAGGGGCGGGGCCGGGCTCTTCCGTGGGGTGCAGAGAGCACGTGCAGCGTTCAGGCCCAGGCTGCTGGGTGAGGCTGGCTTCCCCACCTTCTCCTGGCAGTGACATCTTCCTTGATGGCTTTTAAGAACAGATTTTATGACTTCTCTCTTGAACCCTATCCCGACTGGCTGATGTGTGGATTCTCCCAGGAAGCGGCCTCCTCTTGTGCCAGGATGCTTAGGGAGGGAGGCCTCGGTGCAGGGATTTGCGCTCTGACCGCGGCAGGGCAGCTGCCAGCTCTGCACCCCAAGGCACGTGGGGTTGTGCCTGGACAGCCTGGCCACTGCCTGGTCCCTTTGCCATGGGACCAGCGGACAGCCCACTGCAGGTTGGATTAGCAAGTCCAGCCCCACCTGGAGACGTCACGGGCGTGGGGTGGCGCTACCATCCCCGGGTGGAGGGCCGGCCTGTCCCCGGCCGGGGCAGGGGCTCCCTTGCAAGAGGTTTTCCTGCTTGAAATGCTCTGCTCTCCCCTCTGTCTGCTGCCTGTTCTTCCGTCTGGAGGCAGTGAAAGCGGCCGGAGCACCCCCAGCCTCTCGGTGGTCTCCGACGGCAGACCCGCCCCCGCCACCTACCAGCAGGCGCCGCGCCACTTCCATGTCCCAGGTAGGCACCGGGCTCCGTGTGGAACCGCCCAGCGCTGGCCTCGGTGCCACGCCTGGCTCCAAGCCTCTTCCTGCCCCGCTCCCCAATTCTCGTCATTCAAAATCAGCCCCAAGCAGACCTGTGTGTTTCTCCCAAAGCCCCCGACGTGGCAGGGCCACGGGATGCCCTCCTGCAAGTCCACCGGGGGCACCGAGGGTGGTGGCACTTCCGGGCCGGCCACTCTTGCCTGCACCCACTCATACTCCTGCCCCCTTTCACGTCAGCAGCCTGGTGGAGGGGGGCAATGCGTGGCCTGAGGTTGGGGCCTGGGCGGTGGCTGCTTTGGTGTGCCGGGGCCTTTCAGGGGGTTCTGCATCGGGAAGTCCGGGGCTGCTGGCTCACCTTGCTGTTTCACTCTCTCCTTTTCTCTCTTCTCCCCCAGACACTGGCGTCAAAGATAACATCTATAGGAAACCCCCCATCTACAAGCAGCATGGTACAGTCCCTTTCGCTCTGTGTCCCTGCATGCCTGCGCCGGGCGCTGCCTGCGTGTGCTGGGGGACAGACGACTCACGGCAGGTGCACCCCAGAGGGCCCTCCACTGCCGCCCTCCACGAGCTCTGTCACCAGGGTGTGGCCGGGGGTGGCCACCAAGCTGATTTGAGGGACACGCCCAGACTGGCCTGGGAGGGACAGAAGGCCCCTCAGAGGGGACCGAACACATTGTCTTGGCACCGAATCCTACAAGCCTGGGAATGCTTAAGGCCCGGGCGGCGGGGTCCCCTTGCGCCTGCACACCAGGGCTGTGTGTAGCAGAGAGGGCGTCTCGGCCCCTGCTTCCGTCCCAGAGGTGCCACCCCACCCCCGGCCAGCCTGGGTCAGGGGCGTGGGACCAGGGGCAGGCAGGGGCAGAGGTCTCACACACTTGCAGGCCCCGGGGAGGCAGGGTGCAGCTCCCCATCCTGAGCCTCGTTTCCTCATCTGGAAAGTGGACGGACCCTTCCCGGCTCGTGGGCTTCCTAGGGCCAGTGGAGAGGCAGGTGGAGGTGCTGAGCTGGGAGGGGCAGGCGGTGGCTGTCAGCATGCCCCGCTGGGCCCGGGCCACGTTCCTGTGCAGTGTGCAGCCCCTCGGGCCCTGGGAAGCCCAGGACAGGCTCTTTCTGTGGCTGCTAAGGCATGGCCGTCCAGTCACACAGACCACAGGGCCCTGAAATCTTCGTCCTGACCACGGTCAGCCCTGCTCTTGGCACAATTCCTCCGCTCCCCAGGAGGGAAAAGGCCAGCCAGAACGCGGGCATCACGAGGACACGGCCTTGCTGGTTGTCATCTGACGGGGGAGGATGGTGCCCTGTGGCGCTGGGGGGTCGGGCCCTTGGAGATTATCCAGACCAGCTCCCTCGCGGCACGAGTGGGGAAACTGAGGCCCCGCTGAAGGAAGGACTGGCGTTGAGTGCTGTCTTTCCATCACAGCGCCCGAGGTCAAGCCTGTGTGTCTGTCCTTGTCCCGCCCGAGGTTGACCAGCCGGCCGGCCCTTAGCCTCAAGCAGGTGTGACCCCACAGTGAGGGGCCGTCCTGGGGGACGCATGGCCGTGCGGAGTCGAGTGGCTCGTAGGCCCTACCGGCCAGTGCAACGGTCCCCACCCTGCTCCCGACTCGGGCTGCCGGGGGGCTGGCCTGTCACCAGGGCTCAGCTGTGTGTACAAAAGCCTCCCCCACTCCGAGGCGAACGAGCTCCTGTTTGGCACACCGGAGCCATGGCCAAAACCCTTTATTGCTCCAGACGTTTGGCTGGTCACTTCCGTCATGAAATGAGCTTTATGGGGTGCTGTGTTTTGCCGAGCATCTGACCAGACTCCGGGGGCCCGCGCGGCGGCCAGGGCTGGAGGGTGTGTGTGTGTGTCCTGGCCGGCTTTGCACGTGCTCTGAGATGAGCACATGGGGGAGCTCTGGCTCCTCACGCGGGGTGTTTGCTTTCACAAGACCCGCCCAATTGTGCACGTGCGAGGTGTGTGCATGCTGCGTGGACGTGCGTGCATGCCGCGTGGACGTGTGTGCATGCCGTGTGGACGCGTGTGCATGCCTTGAGTGAGCGCGTGCGGGGGCATGCCTCTGTATCTGTCTGGAAGTACATGCACGGGCAGCCTCAGCCCCAAAAACGCCTCTGGGCGATGCCCTTGAGTCACGAGGCCACTTAATTACGAAGATGATACGTTGGACAGGTTTAAAAATGGCGCCTTTTAATGGGCCTGCTCTTGGACTCTCCAGCTCATGGAGAGCTGCCGTTTCAGAAATGGGGTCACTGCAGAAGCTGGAGTCCCACTGCTGTTGTGGGGATGAGCCCCTAGGCGTGAGCAGCCAGGCCTGCCGACGGGGGTGACAACTCGGTGACTGGGACGGGGCTGGCCAGCTCATAGCTCCACCCATGTGCCCACTCACCCTCGTACCCACATGCGCCCTTGCACACACGCGCACACGCGAAGCACAGAATGTGGGTCCACACAGTGTGGACCGTGGGCCAGCCGCTGTCTGTCCTGGCCGGGGGGCCACACACCGCAGGCGCTAACACCCCCGGGGCTACGCGCGGCCGGCGCCGGTGTGGGTCCGCGCGGACCCTCCTGGGGGTACACGAGCCTTCTCTTGTCTGCTGCGGAGGGGAGGGGCTCCGTTTTAGAAGGGCACTGACCCCATCGTGGGGCTCCATCCAGGGGCCCCACCCGTAACACACGGCAGGGGGCAAGGATCTCGACGTCTGACTTTGGGGCAATGAGCATCCTGTCGTTGTGGGCCTCCTGGGAAAAATAAGGTTCCCAAGGAAGGGAAGACCCCAGCAGAGCTCTAGAGCGGAGGAGCTCCCCTCGCCCCTTGTCGGCCCTGCTGCCCTACTGCACGCCTGGTGCCCGCAGGCCCTGGTGGGGTCTCCGCTGCAGGCACGGTCACCAAGCTGCCAGGTCTAGCACCAGGGGTCTGGGATGGCCCCGGGGGGCCCGCACAGCTGGGCGTCCCCGCTGGGGCACAGGCCTTGGGAGGCCAGAGCTCCGGTGATGCTGGCAAAGGGGCGCGGGCCCCGGAAAACTGTGGGCCCACGTGCAGGGACATGGTGTGGGGTGGGTGGGGCCGGCGCGACGCTGGGTCTCCAGGTTCCCACGTGTCCCCGGAGCGGGCCGCACCCCGGCTTTGGGTGGGATGGGACGCGGCTCCGGTCACCTGCTGTGGGGCTTGCACTGGAGTCGTGGGTCCATTGTTATCTGAGACGCACTTCACAGCCATTAGAGTGTTGGGGTGGGCCTCAAGGTGGTACAGCGGGTGCCCATGCCTGCGGCCCGACTCGGCCCCCATCCAAGCACTTGCTTTACCATCGAGCAGCACCTGACTCACCTGTCTGCCCCACTTCCTGGGCTGGGGGCTTTTAAAAGACAAGGGTCTGGGGGTCTTTTCTGCACCCCCATATGCAGGGCAATGCCGGGAGTGGGGCAGGGGGTGGGGCCAAGCGGAGGATGGACAGAGGAAGGGATGCATGGGCACAGGCTGCATGGTTGACCCGGACCCGTGAGTGGGCAAAGGGGCGGTGGAAGAGGCCAGAGAGGCGGGTGGGCAGTGGGTGAGCGGATGACTGAACGCTGGACAGGGACGCAGCAAGGTGGGTGGATGGATGATGGGCGGGTGATGGGTGGATAAGTGAGTGGGCGGGTGGATGGGTATTAAAGGGTGGGTGAATCAGTGGGTGGAGATGGGTAAGTGGGTGCAGAGAGAATGCAGACGCGTGTGCTTGGCGTGAATGAGTGGTGAGGCGGCTTGGCAGGCGGGCAGGCAGGCGGCGTGGGCAGGCATGGGCGGGAGGGCGGGCAGGCGGGCAGGCGGGCAGGCCTTCTATTCCGAGCCAGCCAGAGACACACTTTCAGCGGGGTGCCTGCAGCGCAGTTTCCCGAGGGCACGGGGTAGATGTCGGCCTTTCTCAGGAAGGTTCCTCGTGCAGATAAGTGCCAGGGCACAGGGGGATGCGCTGGTGCTGGTCCTCAGGCTCTCTGGCTGTCCGGATGGTGCACTCTGACCCCGAAACGGCCCCTACGAGCAAGCCTCGCACCTCTTCCCGGCATGCCCAACCTGCACGCCGAGCTCCCCGCCGTCTCGCGGTTAGTGCACACACACTACCTCACGTGGTCCTCACGACTGGAGGTGTGGGGCACCTGCCCATTTTACAGATTGGGAAACTGAGGCTCGGAGCAGTTAGGGGACTGGCCGCAAGGAAGCTCTGCGCCCAAGGTCCCTCTCCGCCCACGCTCCCCTTCCTCAGAAACTCTGCCGGGGCTTTGTGGGCACCATTGTGGGCTCTGGACAGCCCTGGGCTGGGCGTGCCTGGTGGAGCTTTCACAGGGGAAACCTGCTGGGTCCTGGCGAGTGTCCCCCTCAGTGGATGGCACTGCGGTGTGGGGCGCCGACTCCTGTGTCTCCGTCACCTTCTCCAATCGGGTGGTGACTGGCTTCTGAGGTCCGGGGCCCACTTCCCCTGGGGGCCCTTGGGGGCCATTTCACTGACCACGCGTTGCCCGTCCCCCACGGCGCCGCCTCGAGGGACCAGAGGGCTTCGGGGGTGCCCCCACTCGCCTTACAGTCCCAGGCCCTGCTGGTCCCCGGGGCTTGCTGGAGGCTGCCGAGAGCCCCGGCCCACGTGTGCCCAGAAGGCGGCAGGGCTCCTTTGTCGGCAACAGGAGAGTGCCCACCGCTGGGGGGCCTAGGCGCCCACCTCTGGCTCCCGCCCTCTGGGCCGTTTGCCTCTGCAAGCGGAGAGAACAACATTTTTTATTTTCACGTTATAAGTCCCTGTCTCTCCTGGAGGGAGAAGCAGGGGCCGTCGGGAGTAAGCAGGCGTCGGTGTGTCCAGAACGGTCCTCAACTGTGGCCTTATCTTGTCAAGGTTCTGTAGCCCAATCCCCAATTTCCAAGCTCTCGGGCCTGATGTCAGTCTTGTCCCTGGTGGTGCACAAGGCAGGGTACTCCAAAAGGCTCCAAGCCCCGAGTCCTCCGCAGGCTGCAGGTAAGGAGCCCGCCCCGCCTGTCCCCCCACTGCGGGCCCTGCGGGGGGCCTGTCCTTGTCCCCGCATGGGTTGGCCTGAGGACGGGTGTGTGGGCTCGGCCGAGCTCTGTCGCCTGGCCCTGATGTGACTCAGTTGAGGGCTCTTGGAGATCACATCGCCCAGCTGGCTGGCCCCCGCCCAGTGGAGGAGGCAGATGGGGCACGCGCCCCCCTCGGCTCTCAGCCCTGCTGCGCTCTGGGCCCTTCGCTGCTCTTTCTGGCTTGGTCCGGCGGCACCACTCACCATTTCGTATCCTCGGGGTGCAGGCCAGGAGTGGGCAGCGGAGGGGCCTCAGGGTCAGGCCTGCCCATTTCTTGTTCGGCCCCGCCTGCCCCGATCTTGAGCAATCACATTTTCTCTGAGTCTCAGTCGGTCTGAGGGGGTGTGTGGGTCACAGCATCGGCCCTGTGAGGAGCCGCCTGGAAGGCAGAGCTGGCTGAGCTGAGCGGCTGCACCTGCCACCAGGACTGGGGGGAACGTTCTAACAGGGGTCACTGCGTCGGCCGGGCTTAGCCACAGCCCACCGGGCCCAACACGCGCCAGCCGCAGCTCCGCAGGACAGTCTTCGCCTGTTCTGTCCCTCGCCTGGCGGGCAGCTGTGCCGCCGCCTTCCTCCACTGTGGCCCTTCCGAGCATGACGTCAGCAGCCTGGGATGCACAGGGCGCGTGCGTGCTGCGTGACACACGCTCTCTCCCTTCCAGCCCAGAGGCGCTACGACGGGGAGGACAGCGGCCTCGACCTGGATGGCAGGAAGGTAATGCAGACCCAGCAGCGCGCTCGGAGGGCCTGGCTGGCAGGGGCTTCGGGCTGAGGCCTTGGCTCCTCTTGTGCCTGCTCCCTGGGGTCCCCTGGGACCACTGGGAACAGGGACCCAATATAGGGGTGCCCCTGCGAGCCTCCTTGTGGCTTGGGACGAGCACCCTGGCAACCCAGACCCTGCAGGTGCCCGGGCAGCTCGGCTGGGTTCAGCTCTGACACAGGGGAGCCTGAGTGCACCGGGCGTCCGCGCACGGGCTCCAGGGCAGGTGGGGCCGCGCATTCTGAGAGGGCCAGGAGGGACGCAGTTTAGGCTCTGAGGGCCACGCTGCCCGCTGCCTGGTTGCACCACCCTGACGGACAAAGGGCCACAGTGAGTCCTGGGGTGGGGGGGGGCGGCGCTGTGGCCCCATGTGCCCTCCGGCTCAGGGCTCAGCCCAGACCCCTCCTGAGGGGGAGTCTCCAAGCTCCTGGGACCAGCCATTGGGCCCAGCCCCCTCGGGGGAAGCCAGTCTCCCTCCACCCTTCTCGTCCAGGCAGCAGGGAACAGCTGGCAGAGGTGCCACGCTGGCAACAACCCCCGGTAATTCTGCAGGGAGCCCCTCGCAGGCCGGCAGCACCCCTCTCAGGGCCATTCAGCGGGTTGTGCGGCCCCCAGAAAGGGGAAGCACACTGGGGAGGGGAGAGCAGGAGGAGGAAGGCTGGGAGCCCAGGATGGAGCTGCGCGGGCTCCTGCGGGCGGCCTTCCAGGCACGGGCTCCTGCTTCCAGGGAGGTGGCCGGTCCCCCAGAAACAGCCCTGGGGCCTCTTTCCATTTGAAATATCCAGCGGGCCTCCTGGGCAACCCCGGGCAGCCCGGCTTTGGCCCCCAGTCCCCAGCCTCAGCCGTAAAGGGGGCAATGCCACGTCCCCTCGGGGGCTCACGCTGGCGGGCGTGGCCTTTACTAAGATCTGGTTTCTTGCTCTGAACCGTCTCCCGGTGGTGTCCTCCCGTAGGTGACAGGTAAGAACCTCGACATTCACACGACCTTTTTCTCCGCAGAAGGCCAGCTGGCTGACGCCCAAGGGCGAGGCGGACACGAGGATTAGCTCTCCGGACCTGGACAGCCAGTCTCTGTCCCATAGCAGCGGGGCCGAGAGAGATGCCCTGGCCACGTCGCACGGGGACAGCGGTTACCCACGTGAGTGGTTCTTTTGAGCCAGGAGCTGCAACTGGGGCGTGGCGGTCCCTGCAGCAGAGGGGTCCCCAGTCCCAGCCGAGCCCCAAATCTGAGCCTAAGAATGCGTCAGCCGGGACACAGAGGGTGCTCAGGCCACTCCGGACACCCCGGCTGACCGCGGTGGCTGCTGATCCTGGACTGGCCACAGGCGGGCACCAGGTCGGCTCCCGGCTGCAGGCCCATGTCCCTCCAGAGCAGACGTGCACACGGTCCAGGCAGGCGAGGCCAGACTCGGAGCCAAGGACTCAGCACTGTCCCACTGTCCCTCCCGTCACCCTGAGCACAGGACTGGGTTGGGACTTGCGAGGCTCGGGGGCTTGGGGGACGGACGAGGCTGGTCTGCCTGACTCAAGGCTCTGTGCAGAGGCTGTAGCTGGGGGAGGAACGCTGTGGCTGCAGGAGGCAGAGGCCAAGAGGGGTTGGCGAGGGTGTGGGAGACGAGGGAAATGCTGTGAGGCGGACCCGAGTTCAAGTCTGGGCTGCCGCTGACCGCAGCGTGACCGCGGGCGGTTCTGTCCTCCTTGGGCCCGGGCCCCGAGTGCCTGGTAGACGCTGGAGACCAGGAGGTGGAAGGGTGCACAGGCATACTGCCTGGCCCATAGTAGATGCTCATCATCCATTGTCATCACGCCCTCACCACCCCCCTGTGACTGCCCCCAGACGCGGGGACGCGGCCTCCGCTTGCTGACGAGCTCTGGTCCAAGACAGGCGTGTCTTGGTGTGATCTTTGTAAGCAGATTGTGCCCAGGCCTCCAGCCTGCCCGGCCGCAGGACTCTAAATGTCGGGACCTCCGTGCCACGCACAGGACTGTCCCCATGGGCATGTCACACCACACCCCCCAGAGGCCTCTCCAAGGCGGCGGCATGTCCCCTGGAAGGGCCTGAAAGGGACATGGCAGGTGGCCCGTCCCACCTACAGGCAGGGCAAGGGCTGGCCACAGGAGATCTGATGGGCAGATGCCCAATGGCAGTGCAGTGTCCTCCAGGCCCTGCTCCCAGGAGGCCACTACCTCCTGGGGTGCAGGATGCGAACACAGACTTCAGGCCATTGGTCTCTGCGTTGCCCCCGGCCTTCCCTGTGGTCGTCCTGCTTTATGTTCCCGTTCCCAAAGACAGCTGTTCTTGGAAGGGGTGAACTACAGCTGCCCCAGCTCAGTGGACCCCAGCACCTCCACCCCTGCATTAACCCCAAAGCCCACAAGCTCTCGGGACAGGAGTAATTTGGCCACAGGGTGGGCTTTGCCGGCTTTCTGGGGGGCCAGACTTCATATGGGCAAGTCTGTTGCCCTGCCCACTGTGCCCAGGCTCCCCTGGGGGAGGCCAGCTGCTGCCCCGGGGCTCCACTTCCTGGCTGGGGCTGAGGAGAGGGGACACACAGTGGAGAACCCCGGGCACCTGTGGGGCCTCCTGGCCGCTGCCGCCCTCACCACCAAGCCCTGCTTCCCCGGGGGGTGCCAGGTGCTGCACCGGTGGCAGCCCCGCAAGGCCTGGAGGCTGCAGCCATCACGTACCCGCCAGGCTCCCTACCACCCGGCCCTGCTGCTGCATGTCCGTCTCGGCTGCACACAGCATGCCTGCCGCAGAGATGGGTGGCTGTGCCGACGTCCTGTGCGCGAGGGAAACCCCCAACGTACAGACAGCACACGTGTGTGTGTCTGAGGATGGCGCACGTGTGTGCATGTGTGCATGTGCGTGTGCCTGTGAGTGTGCACACTCGAGCGCCCCCTCACACACTGCTGACACCCACGTGACCCCTGCCGCTCCTCGCCTTTCCGCTGGTGGTGTGTGGCTCTGGATGGGAGCCCTCTGTGTCCACCTGGTGGCCGGGCCCTCACGCCTGCCCCGAGGACGTCGCCTGCTTTCCCATGAGTGGACTAAGCCGCCAGGACCAGGCTGCTGGTCGTGCTGGGCTGGGCAAGCCCAACTGCCGCCAGCCTGCTGAGCAATTCGGGGGGATGGAGGCGCTCCTCATGGAGGGTCCCCTGCCTCGCCTCACCAAGTCCGGACCCCGGGAGCCTGCTGACACGGGGTGCCCTGCCCGTGAGCACAGCGCTCGCCCCCGCTGGGCGGGTGGCTCCGAGGGACATCGCGGTAGCGCCACGCAAGGTAGGAGCGCGACACTCAACACAGCGGGCGCTCAATAAACGTTTGTTGAATTGAGATGCGGTAAATTCAACGGGTATTTATTGAGCTCCTGCTCTGTGCCAGACGCTGTTGGGAGTGCCGGGGGGCCCACAAGGATGCGCGCAGGCTGCTGGGGGGGGGGTAGAGGCGCTGCTGGGGACCCGCGGGGGCCTCGGGTCACGGAGGTCACGCCATCCCATGCATGACGCCACCCGCAGACCTCACCTGCGCCGAGTCCTCCCCCGTCATTCGGCCATCCCTCCACCGAGCATTCACTGAGCGCCTACTATGTGCTGGACATGATGCCAGGTGGCCTGACCCAGCCCGGGCCGCACTCCCGGGCAGGCAGCTTGCGCACTGCCAAGCTCTGTCCGTTCCTCTCTGGCGTCGGGCCGAGTCGCCGCTGCAGGGAGGCCCCGTGCGGAAAGCACGCTGTGCGTGAGACGCCGCCCCGGGCCGCGGTGCGCGACGGGCGTCCCTGTGTGTGTGCCGGGCCGGGATATCGGTGAGCCTGCGTCTTCACAGGGAGGCAGCGGGGTTTGCTCTTGTTGCAAGGAGAAGGCCTCGAGCCTTACGGGGGACCTCACTGCCCCCAGAACTCGAGGTGGCATGGGCTGCCTCCCTGGCCTGGGTGCCCCAGCCTGCTGCTGCCCACGCTCCTCTGTTCACTTTGGAGACCCCGATGTCCCTGTCTGGGTAGTCTGAGCCGTGACAGTGAGACAAGCCCCCGGGCCTGCTGGGGACCCTGCTAGAGAGCTCAGCGGCCCCTCCAAGGACCCCGCTCTTCCACAGGGGTTAAGGCCCCACCTCAAATGAACGTGGGAGGGATGGGAGCCGGGGTGGTGAACAAGTGCTCTGAGTTACACCCCAAGGGTGCAGAGAGGGGACTTGCAGTATGGGCTCTGTACCGCTCCCCCCCATGCTCTGGCCGCGGTGTCCCGTCTGTGTCCCCACCTGGGGAGTCTCGTGTCTGAGACGTGCGGGGGGCCTAGTTGAGGCAGGACTCAGGTCAGCTGGGGTCCCTTGGTGCCTTTCGGGGCTGAGGGCTTGGAACTAGCCCCTCTGTCCCAGGTCTCTGCTCCCTGCTGGGGAGGGAGTGGCGAGTCTTCTGCAAAGACTTGCTCTCCAGCCAGATGGTCAGAGCACTTTCCACCCCTGCTCATGTCCGGCCAGCCAGGCAGGCTCAAACGCCACCTTCAGGGCCCGAGAGTGCCAGACAGGATGCCTTGGGCAAGGCCACACAACTGGGCTTCTGGACACTGGCGGCAGGGAACCCTGGTCCAGCTGGGCTTAGACATGGAGTGGGCCCATGTCAGCGCTCGCAGAGCCTGATGGGACTCAGGGTCGTGTCTGCTGAGCCCCTTCCCAGGCCCAGTGCACTGGACTCTCCTCACGCCTCCTCTCTCCCCGAGGCACACGCAGCACACATCCTCTCACGGCTTCTTACATGCAGGCCCCTAGCAGACCCCCTGGCGGGGTAGGCGGCCCAGGAGCAGATGGGTCATGGCTTCCGATGCCGAAGTCCCGGGCTTCTGTCTCAGCCTGTTCATGAATAACCATTTGCCCTCATAGGGGATGCTTAGTCTCATTACCCCTCAGCCTCCCCACCTGTGAAATGGGCACATGGGTAATGGCTAGGCTTTTGGGGGGTCAAGAAAAGTCTCTGAATGTGTGAAGGGGCCTTTGGAGCCAGTGGTTCTCAACCTTAGCTGCACCTGGGGTCAGTGGGACCTTTCAGATCTACTGGTGGTTGGTCCTGCCCTGAGAGACCAACTTTAGGGGGTCTCCATAGCAACCTAGGGGATGAGGCAGCATCAGTTCCTTACTCCCTGCTCTGTCCAAAGTATGATGGAGAAAGCAGGAAGAATACAGCAGACCATCCCCAAACTCTGAAGGGTGGAAAGAAGGCAGATTGGCCAAGTGCCTCAGGACTTGAAGATACACGCAGGACCCCGCACGTCATAACCCTGGCAGAGGGCCCACGGGACCAGGTGATGGTTCCCTCCCACACACCAGCACGTATGAAACACAAGGCCACTGGCACTAACAGCTCCAAGGGACACGCTCCATCCCAGCAGGGCACAGGGCAACCAGGGACCTCATCAGAACACAGGTGGTGCCCAGGTGGGCCCAGAAACCCAGAGGAGCCACAACCCAGAAAAGTAAGCCAGGCCCTCGTGCTAAACCAAATAGGAGGCCGGCCTGCTGACCTCCTGCTAGTGTGCCGTCTGCCGGCACGTCCAGAGAGTCCAGGAGATCGTTCCTCCATCAAGAACCACGAAGACAGAAGGAGAAAAAACACTGAGAAGAATCAGAGGCCTGGGCTCTCTGACAAGGATTTTAAGTGCTGCAACAAACAATTGCAAATACTCTTAAAATAACTGAAAAACACAGAAAAATCTCCTTGAAGAAGTAGAAGTTACAAAAGTGAAACAAATGGAAATTATAGAACCAAAAGATGAAATCAGCAAAATGAAAATTCAATAACCCAGAATACAGTTACATTCTGAAAATCCATCAGAGGAGAGAATCCATGGACTCGTAGAAGCAGAAATTACACAATCAGAACAGAAGAGAGAAAATAGCAGGGGACAAAAGAAAGAGCCTCAGAGATCTGGGGAAGAATATTTCTAGCACAGGAGTCCCAAAAAGAGAAGAGAGTGGGTCTGGAAAATTCCTCAAAGCAATAATGACTGCAAATTTACCAGATTTGACAAAATATAACCCCAGAGGATCAAGAAACTGGTGAACCCCAAATTGCAGATAGGAAAAATCCGAAGTAATTCACCCCCAAAACACACCAAAATCAAACTTCTAAAAGCTAAAGAGGGGGGCGGGCGTGGATCCTTGTAAGTGATCCTAGAGAAAGACGGGCTCACGACAGGCGAAAGCGGGTATGGATGGCGGCTGATTTCCCAGCAGAAACCTTGCAGGCCGGAAGGAAGAGTCAGAGGGCTGCTCCTGCACCGCAGACGATCTTTCATGTGAATCCTGTTGCCTGTTTGATGAAAATGTCCTTTAGGAATGAAGAGAAAATGAAGACATTCTTAAAGGGAAACCTGGAGAATTTCTCACTGGCAGAATACTTGGCTGGAGGAAGCTCTCCCAACAGAAATGAAATGATAAGGGGGTTCAGAAAGTAAAGGACCTTCGGAGAGAGAAAAATACAGGTGACTGTCCCAGTATCGTTACTTTCAGGCATTTCTTAACTCATATTTGATGGCTGAAGTACAGCATATCACACCATCTTCTGTGGGTGCTCCAGGTGGGGGGAGACACCCCAAGACAATTATACCACCATGTGAATTGGGCAAAGTGGCCTACATGGAGGTGAGGTTTCTGCACTTCATGTGACTTGATAAGACACTGATGGGGATAGTAAAGCAGTCCGGGTGGCTGCAGGCTCGTGGTGCAGGACTTACGGCTTCAGGATGGTAAAGAGAGAGGTGAGGACACCCCCCAGGCTGGTGGCTCCCAGAGCTTAGTGGGCCTCGGAATGCCCTGGAGGGGCTGAAAAAAGGATGACAATTTTATCTTAGTTAAAAAGGGTAATAAGAGGTCGAGATGGACATTATGTGATGATTGAGGGCTTGCTCCAGCAAGAAGAAATAACACTTATGAATATGTATGCACCAAATTATAGAGCATCAAGATACAGAAAGCAGTGTAACCAGGGTGACACTGACAGCAGCACCGTAGTTGGGGGCTTCAGCACCCCACTTCTGCTGTGGGCAGATCAACAAGGCAGAGGATAAATAAGGAAACAGTAGCCTTAAATGACAGACTGGATCAGCTGAGCCTACTACACATTTCAGAACAATCCGCCTAAAACAGCAGCATTTCTATTTTTCAGAATCTTCTCAAGGTTGGGATAGGAATCCTGAGCCAGATGCCCTGGAGGGCTTGTGAAAAACAACCAACCAAACAAACAAAAAACAGGCAGATCCTGAAACCCAGCCCCAGAATCCTGACTCAGCAGGTCCAGCAGGGCCTGGGGCTAAGAATTTGCATTTCTAACAAGCTCCTGGGTGAGGCTGATGCTGTTTCTCAGGGGCTTTGCTTTGAGAACCGCTACTCCAGCGCCTGGCAAAGGGTCCCTTGGACCCTCAGCCCAACCTCCGCACCTCCCCAGGTACCTGGCTGTGTGATAATCAGGAAGCTGCTGTGCCCAGGCCTCGCCACCCCAGGGCTGGTGACCCTGGGCAGGGCCCTCTGGCCTCAGTGATACTGGAAGTGTTGTCTAGATCACCCCCTAGAGGGGGCTGGGAGGCAAGCCCCTCAGGTTGCCCCCCCCCCCCCAGGCCTGTCCTGCTTCTACTTCCCAGCACAACCTGCTGCGGTCAGCACCCACCCAGGGCCTCGCGTGACAAGAGGGGTCCCTGCTAAAAGAAGACTGAGAACCCTCACCTTGATCTTGTAAAAGGCCCTTCCCCGCACAATCTAGAATCTTCCCACAGGCCACCTGGGGGCAAAGAAGTTCCCGAGGAAAGGCGCTGGCCGGTGTCCCTAGGGTGGGCGGTAGAGCCTGTGCAGGGCCCACCTCACCTTGGAGGCAGGGCCTTCAGTCCGGTCCTCAGTGCCTGCACAGCCTTGCAGACACCCAGGGACGCGGCCCGCTATACCCCGGCCCTTGTGGGCAGCCCAGTGGCCCCCAGGAGTGAGGCTGGTATCTGGCCCCGATGTCAGGTACTTGGCTCAGAACTCGGGGTGGGGACCCCAGATGAAGCAGATGTGGCCCCTGCTTTTTAGGGGTCTAGAGGCCATAGGAAGATGGCTCAGGCAGCTGGGGCACCGCTGAAAGGTGCTTCCCACAGGACGGGGTCCCCGCCCTTCCAGGGAGCCGCGACACACCCCGTATTCGCCTCTGAGCCAGGGGGCCTGACGGAGCCTCCGCTCTGCTCTCCACACCCCGCAGTCAAAGGTGAAGTGGGAGGTCTCAGGCCTCTGCCCCCCCACCTCAGGCCAGCTGGCCCCGAGTGGGATCCCCACAGGAGAATCCAGGACCCTATTTACTTCAAGATGCTAGAAATTCAGCTTTTCATGTGAAGATCCCTGCTGCAGACACCGCAAGATTCTTGTAACAGAGTCTCCGCGGCCTCCTTCGGTGGGTGCCGCACCTGCCGTGGGCCTCTGGCTCAGGCACACAGCCCTGCGGGACCCTCCCGGCTTGCCCAGGCCCCCGTCCACTGTCTGCCCTGGGCACCTTGGCCTGGGCGGGTGATGCCGGGCCCGGGGATTTACATACAGGTGCCAGGGGGCCAAGTTGAACTCCGTGGACCACCGATGTCCTGGGTGGGCTGGGACATCACCCCTCCTCTGCTCCTCCCTGGGGACAGAGATCATCTTCAGGGGCCCTGAGTGTCCCCCCGGGGCCCCCGGGCCTGCGTGCAAGCGAGCGTGACAGTGTGCTGTGTCTGTTTCAGGACCCCCCTATTCCAACTCTGACCCTCTCCCTGGACTTGGAAAGAATGGCTTGGACCACCGGGTAGGTACCCGCCCGCACGCGCTGTGCTAGCAGTGCCCACTGGAGCCCGGCCCGCTCCTGGCCCCACCGCGGCCTGGGCCTGCGGGCCCGACTGGGCACCTCCAGATCAGGCGGAGCCAGGCATGCCCCTCCCGCCCTCTCTGCCCTGGGCCCCGGCCCCAGGGTCATCAGCCCCTGCTGCAGCCCCTCCTGACCAAGCCCTGCTGTGCCCCAGTCCTTAAGCCTTAAAGGCTCCTTGTGGTCAGTAGTCGGGTGTTGAGCTTCTGAGTCAAGGACATCCTGCGCAGCGCTGCGGCCTCACCATCATCACGTCCCCGAGCCTGCACCCTTGGCCCCCACGCCACCGCCTCTCCCTGTGGCCGCACCCATGATGGCCCTGGAGCCACAGAGCGGTGAGCCGACTCTGGCTCTCAGCCAGAAGGCTGGGTGGTGTCCAGGCCAAGTTTCCCGAGGGTGACCCCAGGAGTTGCTCCCTGACCCGTACCCAGGAGGCTCCAGGCCCTGTCTTGTCCCCTGCCCAGGGACCCACCCTCGCCAAGGCCCTTCAAAGCCTGTCTGGCCCCCTCGAGGTTGGTGCCCAGGGTGCCCTGGAGCAGCCTTGGTCAGTGTGTGAGGCAGGCCCAGCCGCAGGCATGGTGTCTCCAGCGGCTGAGGCCTGTTTCCCTACCTGTTCTGGGCCCAGGGCCCTGCATGGTTAACACAAGTGGCCCTGCCCCGCCCCACTAACCGCCCTGAGGTTCCGGTTGGCTGAGTCGGGGACACGCATGTGACCTGCCTCTCTGGGCTTCTCCTGAGCGCTTCTCCTTCACCATCCACAGGGACGGTGGGGGAGGGCGCAGGAGGCAGGGCCCCCCAGCTCGGTAAATGTAAATCCTTAAGCTCAGCCTTTGGGGTCCTGAGGGCACTGGGGGAGCTGGGGGTGTTCTCTAGCGGGCAGGAGACTGCAGTCTCCAGCCTGCCAGGCTGCCCCTTACCGCGTCCCGGTGCCCCGCCTCTGTGGCTGTGTCCCGGGCGCCCTGGGCTGTGCGTGCTCCAGGAGCCCCCCTTTTGACTCCTGTGCTGGCCCCTCAGCTGCAGAAGAGGTCACAGCCTCCAGACCCCTGCCCCCATGTCTGGGGCAGCCGTGGGGCGTGGTCTTTCTCCCCCGCTGGCTGGACCTGAGCAGACAGAGCTGGCCTGCAGGCGGGAGCCACGCGTCGGGGTCCCCCGAGACGGGGGTGGGGGGCTCAGCTCTCACATTGCCCTTTGGCCAGGGGGCGAGGCCTTGGCGTGGGGGCCCTTGTCCAGCTGGCCTTCTAGGTGCTTCTTCTCGCTAAGCCTCCAAGCGTGTGATCCTGTTCCCAGGGCGGCCGGTGGCTGCTCTCCGGGGCCCACCGGGAGATGGGCCCGGCACGCCCTGCACTCTTAGCCACTGGCTGCGTTGTTTCCCGCCTGCTTCCACTTCCAGAGGGGGGTACGGTGGGTTAACATGAAGGACAGACCTGTGAGCCCCCAAACCCACTAATACCTAATCAAAGGAGGGGGGACCGCAGGAGAAAATCACATCAGACACAGAGGGACGTTGTTGAGAAAGGCAGCGCAGTGCCGCGAGCGTGCCCACAGCCGTGGCGGGGCCAACGGCCGGCGCGGGGCCAGCGTGGGGTCCCGGCGGCAGGGCGGGCAGGACGCTGTCCCTTGGGCCTTCCCGGTTCCTTCTGGGAGGGCTCGTGACCAGGGGTCAGCCCCACCGGGCCAGAGTCTTCTCGCGCCTGCCGTGAGCTGTGGCAGGAGAGAGCAGAGGCCGCCGTGAGCCTGCGCTCCCTTCCCATTGCTGGCGGCCCCAGGAGGAGTTGTCAAAACACAAACTTGTGAGCAGAAGCGCTCACGGCCGAGTATTGGCTGGTGGGAAGTCGCTTCTCGGTGCCGCGCCGTAAGGTGGGTCATCCGTGCCCAGCTCGGGGATTGCAGTGAGGACCGGTGCCCAGAGGCCGCTGGCACATGTGGCAGGGGCAGGCCACTCACTACCTTCACATGCTCCGGGCCTCCGCGGACTGCAGGGGTCTCCATTAGTTTGCTGCTTTGGGGCTCCCCGGGCCACCTCAGCTCTCGCTCTTGCTGGCCCGTGGGCCGGGTGGCCAGAGACCCCGCACAGGAAGGGAGCCTGCACACCTGGCTCGGGAGGGCTCGTGGCTCTCCCTGCTCCGGCACAGGTGGCCCCCGCAGCTGCCCCTCCTCCCTCCTGGTGCCAGCAGCCCTGGACAGCCAGTGGGGCAGCCCCCCAGCCCCCCTCCCACCCCTGCCAGCGGCGTCCTGTGATGCGGAGCAGCGGCACCAGGGGGCGGCATTTCTCTTCCGCGGCCCAGGCGGGCGGTGGAGGCGGGTCCTAGGGAGGTTTGCCGGGCCAGAGGGCGGTCCCAGCCTGGACAGAGGGCGTTGGGACCTATCCGTGTCCTGGGAAGACGTCTCTCCAATGGTTCCGGAAAACTCCTAAGAGAAGACTTAGACGGGAGGTGGTGGAGGCGAAGGTGAGGGCGTCACTGACAGGCGTGAGGACGGCTGGCTGGGCCCGGGCCTGGCTCAGAAGACGGTCAAACGTGCCTTGTTCTCATGCGGTCGAGAAATCAGATCAACACCAGAGAGTTCGTGATGAGCAAAGCACCAAAAATGTCAGTGAGGACCAGCTCCAGCCGCCGCTTCCCGACTCACCGCCCCGGGCCCAGGCTGCGCCCCAGCCCCCCACCGCTCTCGGCAGGCCCAGCGCTGCCCTGGGCCTCCTGCCCCCGACTCGGGCGGAAGGCGGAGCTCTCTGCAGCCTGCCCCCGCCTGGCCCCTAGAGCCAGGAGCCGCACTGTGACTTAGGGGGCAGCGCAGAAGCACTTTCCCTAGAGCGAGACCCCCGGGGCGAAGCGTGGCCTCCCCTTTATCCGCAGGGCTCCCTGGGAAACTTGCCCCACAGCAGCTGCAAAGGCCTGCATTGCCCGGCCAGACAGTGCGTCCGCCTTTGGGGCTTGTGCGGCGCTGGCAGCCCCCAGGCAGGACCGGCAGATGGGGCGGGACCCCGAACTTGAGGGTGTTTTCCAGGTGGACAAAGGGAGAGCGCCCCAGACGTGGGGGTCCTGGTGCGCTGGATGTCGGGAGGCGAGGCTGGGGAGGAGGTGGTGGGCTCTCGGCCCCCGCCTCCCGGGCCTGCCGCAAGCACCCAGGGCAGGCTCCATGCGGGGCCTCAGAGACACGGCGTGAGCCCGGGGCCGGCTTGGGGAGCAGCACCCCCGCCCGAGGCCACGGTGCCAGCTGCCATGTGCAGGGTCCTGTGGCTAGAAACCCCTGGGGCCAGCACCGAGCACCCCCTGAAGGCGGCAGGGGTGCCTGACAGCAACTAGCCCCTCTGGAGGAGGAGGCAGGGAGCCCCTGCCCGCGTGATGCCAGCTGCCGCGCGGGGTGACCGCACCCACTGGAGCCGCGCCAGGCGCTGAGGGGCCACCCCTGCCCAAGTCAGGACCCAGGTGCCTGCCCTGCTGCCCTCTCTCTCTTTCTCTTCCAGAATGCCACTCTGGCCCCTTGTGGAGCAGACCTGGATGCCAGCTGGGGCACGAGAGGTACAAGGCACGGGACCCCGTGGTCTCTGGCTGGGCAGGGGTTGCCGGCCGGGTCACAAGTCTAACTCTGAAACACCCTTGGGCCTGGCAGAGGCCCCCAGCATCACATGGCGGGGCCTTGAGGGTGCACCCATGTCCCGCGCCTCCAGGAAGGGGCAGTTTGCCTCCGTCCTGCCATGCTCGGGTGCTTCCTCGCACCCAGGTGCATGCGTCGGTCGTCCCGAACGCAGGTGCTCCCTTCTCTCCAGGTGCGCCCTCTCCACCCGCGAGGGCCACCGTCCTGACTTGTCGGTCGTGGGGGACCCCTGGGAACAGGGACCTGTGTCGCCATCCCATGCCTGGCAGCCCCACACCTGCTCTTATAGCCCGTGGCTCTGGGGCAGCGGGTCGGGGAGACGCCTGGTCCGCGCTGTCCTTTGCTCCCGCTCCCGGGCCGCCTGGGTGGCAGGCCGAGGGCTGTCACGCACACTGGTGTCCCTGGGGCGGCCTGGCCTCGTGGCCCCCCTCGTCCTCAGGACAGCAGGTGCGTGTGGGGTGGAGCTGGCGTCCGCTGCTGCCACTCTGGGGGTCTCCAGGCCCCGGGCTCAGGGCCAGCATGTCCAGGAGCCCATTGCCGCTGCTGACCAGAGCCCTCCTGAGGCCGGCGGTGCTGGCTTTCAGGGAAGCGTCCCACGTGCTGCGCGGCCCCGGCCACGGGCGCTGAGCCTGGAAGGGGACGTTGAAATGGCAGTGTGTGGCGCTCGGGCTTGCAAAGGGGGAGCGAAAGTAGAGAGCAGACAGTGAGGCTGTCCGCCCGCCGCACCTGCCAGCTCCCCACTCCTGGGCGCAGGCGGCCACGGAGCCCGTGCGCCTCGGCTCCCAGTCTGGCCTCCAACCTCGACCGTGCCTCCCGCTCAGCCCCCGCAGCTCTGAGTGTCGGTGCCCCGCAGGCCCGTGCTCCGGGAGCCCGCAAGGCAGGGGACTGTGGGGGCGGGAGACCGAGCAGTGACCGGGGGCCTCGCAGGGCGGGGCACCCTTAGGGACCGGGGTGCCGGGGCCCGGAAGCCCACACCTGGCCCAGCTGCCTGCAGGGGTGGGCGGGCGTCCGGGCTGAGGGCTGCCCCGGACAGCCCAGCACGTTCTAAACCGCCCTGTGGTCTCCGCTTTCTCTTACAGAGTACAAGGTAAGGGGCTGCCGCTCCCGCTGACCTGGCGCCGCCGCACCTGCCCAGGTTAAAAGCTCCTTTGTTGTGCGTCCCTGCGAGTGTGTGTCAGAGCAGACGCCCGTGTGCCGCCCTCGGCCCAGCCGGGCCTGGCAGGCCGCTGCCTGGGATGAGCCTGCGTTTCTCCCCGCAGATCTACCCGTATGACGCCCTCATCGTCACCAACAGGATCCGCGTGAAGCTGCCCAAGGATGTGGACCGGACGAGGCTGGAGGTACGGGGTGGGCTCAGGCGGGGCTCCGCCTCTGTCTGGGGCTGCGCAGGGCAGGGGCTGGGCGACGCATGCGGGCCGGAGGGGCTGTGGGCCACCGAGCGGCTGTGCAGGGGCCCGGCGGGGTGGCGGTGGCCGGGGGCTCTGTGGCCCCGTCCCCCTCGGCCCAAGAGGCGCACACGGCTGGCCTGGAATAACTCGCCAGTCGTCGGGGCTGGCTCTAGGGTTAGAAGAGCTCACAGGGTGTGAAGGTGGGCCTGGAGGCGCCTGTGGCTCCCGTGGCTGGGCGCAGAGTAGGTGCTGGGCACTCAGTAGGTGCTGGGCGTGTCCCACCAGTGCCAGAGCCCCGAGACTGCCCACCTGCCCGGGGCGGCTTGGGAGGCTGCCAGGAGGGGAGCAGTTGGGGCATGTCCAGGGCACCCGCAGAGCCTGCCTGCTTGTGAGGGCTGCCAGGAGGCTGGACCTGAGCACGGGTGGGGGTGCCCAGTGCGCGGGAGGAAGCGCCGCTGACCTCAAGGTGGGCAGGACCCTCGCCAGCCAGGGAGCGTGTGGAAGGCAGTGCCTGGGGGCCCCTTAGGCCACGGGACTCCTGAGTAGAGGCTCCGAGGGGTCTGCAGCTGCACCAGGACAGGAAAGGCTGCCGGTGACTGGGCATGACGCCCTGCAGTGACCAGCTGTGCGGCCTGCAGCCCTGACTACCACACCCCTGCTGAGGACGTTGCTGCCCGCCGGGGGTCACTGTATATGCAGTCCACCCGGATCCCCTCGTCCAAAGCCTGGGAAACAGCAGCCTCCGGGCCCCTGAGCTGACTGTCCTGCAGCTGCGCAGCCAGTTTGACCTGGAGGAGCAACATCCCCGGTCAGGCTCGGCCACAGGCCCACCCTGGGTCAAGGGGGCTGCTGATGCCACCTGTGGTCAGGGAAGCAAGTGCTGGACTATACCAGGCAGCAGGTGTCCAGCTGCAGGGGGTGGGAGGCAGAGGCCAGGGCAGGCTGAAAGCCCTCAGCTGCTCAGGCACCGTGCAGCCCCCGGGAAGTGCTGGACCTGGAGCCGGACCAAGGGCCCCATAGCCGAGCGGTCCCGGGTCTTCGGCTGGGAGGTGGCAGTTCAGTGGGCCTCTGGCCCTTACCCCGGAGAATGGGGAAGCCGCTGAGATTTCTGGCCTCTTAGCACAAGTGCGGGTCACCGTGGGGGCTGGAGCAGGCACCCCAGGCAGGGAGCCCCGTGTGCTCACCTGGCCCTGCTGCCCGGCCCGGATGCCCTCCCAGAGTGCCACTGTGCAGAGGAGCCGGGAGGCAGTGGGGCCCCCCACGTGCAGGGGTGCCCACCCCGGTCTGGAAGGTGGCCCTGGGCAGCCCCCGGGCCTCATGCCGCACAGTTCTGCCTTCTCTGCAGGGTGTGCTCCTTGGCTCTGCAAAGTCCTGTCCTTGTTCATTGTGCAGCCGTCCCCAGCACAGGCGCGCTCTGTGAGGCGCGCTCGGCCGAGGGCGCTGCCGCGGAACTGGGGCCGGAACCCCCCAGGGCTCCGGCTCGAGCCCCTTTGTCCCTCGAAGGGTGGTGCCTGCGCCTGGCCCGCAGTTGCTGGGCTGCCCCTCCCGGGGTCGGCATGCCCTGAAGTCTTGACCACTGTCCTCTGTCCTGCTGGGCAGGGTGAGACGCGCCGAGCAGTCCAGCGTGCGCGTGGCCTTCCCGTGACCCGAGCGCCACGGAGTGGGTTTCCCCGGCCGAGTCTCCAGAGCACACCCCGCCCTCCCCAGGAGCCCCCGGCCAGCTGGCGGCTGGGCGTGGCACGGGCGCGCTCCTGGGGCGTGGGTGCTGGGGGCACTCACGGGGCTCCGGCTGGCAGGCGAGGAAGCGCCCAGGTGAGGTCAGGGGAGAGAGCTTTATTTTAACCTAAAAGCAGTTCAGAACTGCCGAGAAGGCTGAAAAGGAAGCCATAGACCCCTGGTGCTGCTGAGTCAGAGCCCTGCTCCTCCGCAGGGGCCGCCTCAGGAGAGCCCCCCTGGCACTGCCCCGGCCCTTCCACCCCGCGTTCTCCTCTTCAGCCTGATCCCCCCTTCAGCCCCCCCAACCCCCCTCCGAATGTGGCTCCGCCCAGACCTTAAGCACCTGTAGGGTGTCACATGCAGAGCCCCTGCCAGGCAGGCCGGTGGGCGGGGTCCAGCAAAGGTGAGACTTGGGGGGCACATAAGCAGTCTCTGCCTGGACGGACACCTCCTTCAGTGTTCGAGGCAGGCGATGGGCCCTTTTTGCAAAGTGTTGAGCGGACCTGTTTGTGAGGTGACTGTGCCAGGCAGGGGAGGGCGCCGGGATGCCTGGTGAGCAAAAGCTGCCTGGCCCTGCCCTCAGTCTTGGCCGACGGCCGATGGAGGCAGACCCCAGACAGCTCGTCTCTTAGGAGAACGCATGTGGCTATCCAGAGATAAGGGCACCAAGGGGCAGGGACGTGGGCTTTTGTTAAACTTGTTAGAAAGTAAGTGAGTGCAGCAAGCATGTGTGTGTAAGGGGCGAGGGCAGGAGGAGAATGCCAGGAAGTGTACGCTGCATGTGCAGGGGCCCCGGGGCAGGTCGCCTGGGCTTTCTGAGGGGCCTCTGGAGGAAGGCCGCAGCTGTGCCGGGGCAGGTGAGGGGGCCCACAGGCCACGGCTTGAGGGATCTGGACCCCGTGACATGGTTGCTGCAGGCTGGAGCCCTGGCTGTAAGTTGGGGAGCGCATGACCAGGGTTGTAGTTCAGGCGGCAGTGTGGAGGGACGGGGCTGGCTCTGTGGCTGCAGCTGGGTTGTCCAGGCCAGAAGTGGCTGGACTCGGGCCGAACCAGGGAGGTGGAGAAGCAGCGCTTGGTGACAGGGCTGCCCGGCGGTGAGGATGGGATGTCCCTGGCGGAGGAAGAGACCCCAGCTCTGCGGAGAGTGACACTTGGCTTGACGGGGCTTGGCTGAGTGAAAGGCACTGCGTGGGGACCTGGCGGCGCACAGTGGGTGCTTTGTCTGCAGGGGCGGCTCGTGGAGGAGCGTGAAGGGGGCAGGGTGAGGCTCAGACTTCCCAGGGAGGCGCGTCTCTCCTGCGAGCCTGCGTGCTGGTCAGTGAGGGTGGGGTCCTGGTGCCGGGGCCCGAGCCACGTGGCCCACAGGCCCTCCCTCACTGGGCAGCCACTCTTGAGGGCCAGCCGCACAGAGCTCCCAGCCTGGCAGGGTCCAGGGGCCTCTGGCCTGAAGCTCCGCTCTGCAGGCCTCTGCCAGGCCCTGACAGACACCCCATTTTGCTGGCGTTGGCCTCCTGGTGCCATTACTGGAGAAGGTCTCAGTGTGGGGCGGCGTGTCCTCCGCCACGCAGCCCCAGCCCAGAAACACGGGCGTGCTCCAACAGCCAGAGCTGCTCCCGGCCATGCCAGTCTGAGCTGAGCTTACGGGGGACAGTGGACATTTAGGATGTGGCTATTCCGACAGGGGCTCAGCCCGACCTGCAGCATGCGGGTGCCGGCCTCGTGCCGAGGCCTCGCCGGGTTTCCCTTTCTGGAGGTGCCTGCGGAGAGGCCCAGGCGGTGCCCTTGCTGAGTCCTGAGTCCAGCTCTGGGGGCAGCAGCGCACGTTGAGGCTGGTTTACCCGCTCGGGCTGCAGGTGGGGGGCCTGTTCAGACTTCAGGTCTGTGAAGGTGGCTCTGCACTCCTGCCTGTTAGCGGGGAGGACGGCCCCAGAACATCTCACTCTGGGTGGGGGCGCATGCCGTCCGGTCTCCGTGCCTTTGCTGTGTGACTGGGGCAAGTCACTTACCCGCTCTGAGCCCGACTCCTCGGCCCCCAGTGGCATCGCCAGGCCTGCCCTGAGGGGCCAGCGGCACGGACCATGAGCTAGCCCAGCTGCATGCACAAGTCCACCATTTTGTCCAGGTCACCCCCACTTTCCGCCTGAAAGCGAGACCCTTGGAGGGGGATTCTGTAGGCAGGAGCCCAGGGCGCAGGAGAGGGGAGTCTGGGATGCAGGATGGGGAGACAGATCTGGGTCCAGGTGTCGTTGAGGCCCGGGCTGTGCTGTCTTCCGGGTTGGTGACAGTCCGCAAATAAATTCCTGTCCCCGCCTCCCGACACACACAACACACAGGCCCCTCTGCTCCCAGGCGGGCATGTGTGTCCTGCAGGCCCTTGGGGGCAGCAGAGCCAAAGGGACACGGGATGCGGCTGGGTTGTGGTGGCCACTCACTGGCGGGAGCTGGCTCGCCTGGCTGTGGCGAGTCTGAGGCGGGCGGGCGGGCCCAGACTGGCCTGGGGCAGCAGAAGGGGCACTGGGGGCAGAATCCTGTCTCTGGAAGCTCCCGTGTTTGCTCTGAGGGCCCGCAAGGGAAGGAGCCCCTCACCAGGAGGATAATCTTAAAGTCAACAGCCCGTAGCCACCTCTGCTAGGTGCCTCGACAGCCTCATCTGTGCTGCTTCGGCCAAGCCAAGGGCCCCTGGGCCCAGCCAGGCTGACTCCTGAAGAGGGTCCCCCAGGAAGGCTGGGGTCACGAGGGACAGGCAGAGGCGTGCTGTCTGGGGGCGCAGGGCCAGTCTCCTCCACCGGACCCCAGGCCAAGCTGGACCCGCGCCTGCTCAGCAGGAGCCCCTCAGGTAGAGGTTGCCTGAGAGGTGCCTCCGCTGCTGCGGGGGGGGGCTGGAGAGGGTCTCCTTTGTGCAAACTCATCTGACTGGTCCGTTGAGAACCTGCAACCGAGAGGCCTGCGGAGTCGCAGGAACCCGGATGACGGTGGTGCAGTTCCCGCACGAGGCTGGGGCTGAGTCCAGGGGCCCGGCCAGGCGGCAGAGAACACAGGGGGAGGGCCAGAGCGAGCGGGGAGCCTCGGGGAGAGTAAGGTGGGCAGACAGCTGCGAGGCGGGGAGGAAGTCGGGAGGCAGGGTGGCAGCCGGGGTGAGGCACAGACTTAGTTCCAGGGAGGCAAGTGGGAGGGGAGACCCAGTCAACAGTCAGCCCTGCCTGCCCTCAGGAGCCAAGAGCCACACTAGGCACTGAGGGACCCGCTTGGCTGGCACAATCCAGGAGGGCTCCCTGGAGGAGGGCACATTTGAGCTGGGCCCTGTAGGATGGGGAGGAGCCCCTGTGGGGAGTGGCAGAAGGAGCACCGCCGGCCCCCTAGGCAGCAAAGAGCCTGGCATGTTCCAGAACCTGTAGATGCCCATGGCGGATAGAGTAGTGGTGGGAGACGGGCCAGGCCATGGTGATGCAGGGCCTCGAGGCCCCCTGAGAGGGTCACTCCACCTTCAGCCTGAGTGGCTCCATCCACAGAAGACTGTGCACGGGGCGCCGGACACTGTCTGGCAAAGGGGTGCTCTGGCACTCCCCAAACAGCATGGCCATTTCCATGTGCTGATGATGTCATTATGGTGGTATTGCTATGATAGTGATGTCATCGTGACATGATGTCATTGAGAAGATGATGTAACTATGTAAACCATGATTACATGTTGACAACGATGTGACAGCAACGTCATCTGTGGTGTTGGGGACCGTCTGCCAAGAGGGCTGAGGCTTCAGAGAGGGTCTGGGGGAACCCAGGATGAAGGGGTGTAGGGAGCGCAGGATGAGCAGTGCAAGGGCAACATGGGGATGGGGTCACAGGGGAACACAAGGATGGGGAGCGGAGGGAACTCAGGATGGGAGTGCAGGGGGACTCAGGATGGGGGTGCAGAGGAACCCAGGGGCCGCAGCCCCACCCTTCCTGCCCCAAGGGCCCGGCGGCACCTCGCTGACCATTGCCCTCTGCTTCCTCCTTTTCCTTTGAAGAGACACTTGTCCCCGGAGGAGTTCCAGCAAGTGTTTGGGATGAGCGTGGAAGAGTTTGAGCGCCTGGCCCTCTGGAAGAGGAACGACCTCAAGAAGAAAGCCCTGTTGTTTTGAGGGGCTCCTGACCCACACCGCAGCAGAGACAGGGACCCCAGGCGGCAACCATGCACTCCTTCCTATTGCACCGGCTGAGGCTTGTCTGTGTGGACAGGGTGGGCGGTGGGCACCTGGCCGGGCGGGGCTGGGACGGAGGGGCTGGCGAGGCCCCGGGAGGGGGAGCCTGCTCCCGCCTGCAGGTCGGGGCCCAGACACCCAGCTTTGCGCCGCCCCTTCCAGCTCTGGCTTGGCCCCCAGAGATGCTGCCGAGTAGCTGTTGCAGGAGACAGAGTCCCTCTAGGAAACCGCAGCCCCTCCCGCCCCGCGCAGCGCCGGGCCTGGCCCTGGGCACGGGGCGACCGCTCCAGCCGGGGCACCCACGCGCTCACGCACAGGCTCGCGCCCCCACAGCCTGCTCCGCGCAGGGCGCACGGCTCGCAGGCCTGGCCCGGGCCTGGCCGGGGGGCGGGGGGGTGCGGAGCCGGGCTGCACGCGCCTCTGCGGGACAGCGTCGGCCCCCCCCGGCCCCCGCCTCGCACACTGTCTTCCTCCCGCGCCGCCCCTAGATGCCTACATATCTTTAAAGTCACAGAAGTTTTTATTTTATTAACAATATAGCCTACGAACCTAAGATGACGTATCTAAAGCGCTTCGCCCCGGCCACCGCAGGGGAGGCCCCGGCCTCACCCCGCCCGCCCGCCCCGGCTGCTCCCCTCACTCGGTGTGTCCTCCACGCGGACCCTCGCCCGTTGCCCGGCTGCTCCTCGCCTTCTCTCCGTGGCACGCCGCGTGGAGGCAGACCTCGTGCACACGCATGTGCAACCACACACGTGCGCTGTCTGCGTGGGCCGTCGCCTCCACCTCTGGCTGGCCGTGGTTCCGCGTCGGAGAGCCGGCATCCTCTGAGGCCGCGGCCCGGGGGGAGGGATGCCGCCCGCCAGCCAGACGCCCGCGCCTCCGTGATGTGGCCGGGGCCCCCTGCCCGGCACCGCCCCGCGGCAGCACGCCCCCCGGGCCGACCCAGCCGCGCGCCCGTGGAGGGGCTGCGCCGCCCCCGCTCAGGCCACCCGGGAAGCCGGGCCTGCCCCTGGGGACCGCGCTCCTGGCACGAAATGTTCTGCGCGCGCGGGAGGCTCGCCTCACCAAGACGGTGTCACCACGGCCCGGCGCCCCGTCTTCCACGGAGCACCCGTGTGTCCCGCTGTCCCCAGGTCCATCCGCCGCGCCTGCCCGGCTCGCCCCGGCTCCTCACGCCCGCTGGGCCGGCCATGGCGACTCTTAGCTCCCACCGCTTCCTTCCCTTTAGCGAGCTGAGCCCGGCGCCTGGAAACCCCCGCGTTCTCATCCGAGCAGTGTCACGTCGGGTCAGGGGAAGCCTGGAAATAAAGGACGATGATCACAACTCGTGCCAGCAGGAGGCCACTTCTTGTAAACACGCGGCGCTTCTCTCGGCCAGGCCCCTCTGCGGCTGCAGCCTGGGGACAGTGGCCACAAGTGGCCTTGGATGTGGGGTGGCGCCTTGGCCAGGCTGCCAGGGGGGCGGGGCGCAGAGCCACACAGGACGCCCCCTCAGAGTCTCAGAGGCTGAGGCGGAGGGGCCGGCCCTCTGCAGTCCAGGAGCGCACACGGCCGACAGAGGCTGTCCTCACGAGGCTGGGGCGACAGCACCCCAGGTTGATGGCTGCCCTGTGGAGGGGACAGGAGGCCCCAACACAGCCCAGAGGTCAGGGGAGGCTTTCTGAGAAGGTGCTGCCCGGGCTGAGGTCTGATGGACGAGGACGGCGGTGGGTGGGGCCCTGGCAGGCGCGGCAGCTGTCCCTGGGCCTGCCCCTTAGTGGCGGGGGCTGCCGTAACCAGTGGGCCCCGGGCCTGCACGGCAGCCGCTTGCTCCTCACAGATCTGACCCCCTGACCCTGCAGCCGCCCCCAGCTCACGGCATCCTCTCCTCCGCCAGCTGCTCTTCCTGGAGGGCGCTGATCCCGTAGGGAGGGCTGCACCTGGCGACCCACCACCGCACCGGCCAGGCCTCACGTGTGGCCTCGGGGACACGAGGGCAGCCCCTCGCAGCCTCCGGTCTTACTCCACTGACAGCGAGCCTGTCCTCATGGCGCTGCCCACCCGCCTTGTAAAGGCCCACCCACACCCAGTTATGCAAGTAGGACCCCCGCCTCCCTGGCCCCAAGGGCTGCCCACCCAGAGCCGGCCTCAGCAGCCCGCAGTGCTCCGTCTCGCAGCCCCCACGAACGGCCCAGAAAACACTGAGAGCGGAAGTGCAGTGTTACCAGGGGCCCCGGATGAGGGGACCCCGTCGCTCCGCCATCGCTCTGCCCTAGTCCAGCTACCCTGGGCGACACCGCGGCTCCCTGGTGGGCCTCTGTGCCCACTCATGCACCCCCAGCCCCGCCGGCCCTTGGGCTGCGTCTGTCCAGCAGGCACGTCCCAGCCTCACCACCCTCTGGGTTTCTGCGGGCGTGGCCGCTGCATCCTGGGGCCTGGCTTCTCCCGGCGGCCCTTCGCTCGCGCAGGTAGACACTGCCCGTCCAGCGGCAGCCAAGGGAGCCGCCGAAGCCCCTTCCCACGGGGACTGTGGCAGGAGAAGGGTCCCCAGGGTCCCAGAATCCAGCCCCACAGGCCAGTCCCCGGGGAGGTGCAGAAGGGGCCGGCAGCCTTCACCCCTCAGCCCTCACTAGACACCCCCACCTGGGGTCCCCTCGATAAAACTGCGAGGCAGATGCTTCCAAAATCCCCACTGCACAGAGGGGAAACCGAGGCACAGGGCAAGGCGAACTAACCTGCAGGGAGGCCCCAGTGTCGCGGTGGAAGACCCAAAGCCCACACCCTGGCTTGGTGACGGGCGTAGCGCCTCCCCTGACCTCTGGGCTGCGTTGGGGCCCCCTGTCCCTCCACAGGGCAGCCATCAGCCTGGGGTGCTGTCACCGCAGCCTCGTGGGGACGGAGTCTCTGTCCGGTGGAGCACGCGTGTGGCTGCGGGAAGCCCCGGCGTGCTGGGGAGGGACAGGTGGGGGGCCGGGAGGGGCCCAGGCACATGAGGAGGGGTGTGGACTCCTTGCCCAGGAGGTCGCCCGGTCTGAGCTGGACTCGGGGCCCCAGTGGTGTAGATAGTGGGAGTGGACAGCAGGGGCGGAGCCCAGGAAGCCTGGCCGGCGGCGCTGAGGCTGCTTGCGGTCACCCTTAGTCCCCAGGATCCCTGGGAGGCCACCGGCAAGGCGCTGAGCATCTGCGTTGGAGCTCTCCCCCGGGCAGGGCGGTGCCTCCGTCCTTGAGCTGCTGGCCCTCAGGGCAGGCACCCGCACCGTCCCCCTTCCGCCCGCTCCTCCAAGTCAGTCACCCAAGCCTTCTGTCTGCTCGGCCAAGGTCTGGGAGTCACGACGCAGATGAGGTTGCCCAGGCAGCCCCTCGAGGAACAAGACTTTCTGAGAATGTGGGTCTTCTGCATGGGGGGGGGAGGGAGGGAACAAGGAAACCCAGGCACCGGAGGGTAGAGTGTGGGGGGACATCAGGAGGCCAGAGTGACCAGGAGCATCTGGAGGCAAGCGCCCCCACAGCTCCCCACCAGAGCTGCAGATGCATTTCCCTGAGCTCGGCCAGGGCCCGGCTCCTGCTGGCTGTGCGCTGCAGGCAGTCCAGGGCCAGGGGGACCGACAATGCACCCTCCACCGAGCCTATTGTCTGGAGGGATGCTTGCGTGATGTCACATGCCCAAGGGTGACCCCCACCCTTGCCAGACTACCAGCTGGAAGGTGCCCTGGGGCCTGCCTGCTCTGAGGAGGGGCTCACATTTGGCAGGCTTGGGGGGGCCCTCTGGGGTGTCTCCCGCAGCTGTCTTTGATCCCCTTCCTGGGGAAAGGGATTTTTAAGGTAAGACTTGAAGGGCGAGTAGGAATTGCTGGGTTCAGAGAGGTGCGTCAGGCCGAGGGGGTCATGTGCCAGGTAGCTGGCGTCCCAGCTTTTGTGGCCCCTGAGGATGCCCCCTGCCTGAAGGATGGGGAGCCAGGCCTCCCGTGGTGTGAGTGTGTGTGTTAGTGTGTGTGAGTGGCCCCTGTGTGTGCCGGTGTCCCTGTGTGTGGGGCAGGCCCAGCCAGTGTCAACATCTCCCCACCCGCTCCCCGTCCTCCCAGGACCCTCAGGGCACCAGCCCCTGCTCTGCTCGCAGAAGTGAATCACCGCGGGTCCCCTGCCCTCTCCCAGTGGGGGCCACCTCCCTGGGGTGAAAACCACTCAGGCGGGCCAGGCCCGTGGGTGCTGAGCCCGGGGTGGGGGGAGGCTCAGGGAGCCTTCCAGACTTGGGCCTGAGCAGCTGCGCCAGGCCGAGAAGAATGTGGAGGAGCAGGCTGGGGACTGGGGGTGAAGCCTGCATTTGGTGGAGACCTTGGAGACGCCCCCTGGGCAGCCAGCTGGACCCACAGACGCTGGGGCCGGGAGGCACTGGCCGTCCCTGGGGAGCAGATGGCGTTTCCAGCCCGGAGGCCTGGGGGCCTCCCGCCAGAGGGGAGCAGAAGGGCCCTCTGGCCGCGCCCAGCCCCTAACCTGTGCACCCCGGACCCCTCCGGAACTGCGCCAGGCAGGGCCGGGCACCCGAGCGCGGGTCACGCGCCTCCGAAAGGTCAGACGAGGATGGCGGTTTCGGAGGCGGGGCCTGGCCAGGGTGCGGGGTTCAGGGTGCGGGGTGACGTGCGGGCGGGAAGACCCCCACAGGGAAGCGACGATCTCCGCTTCTTCGGGGAGGTCCAGTGCGGCCCGCCCGCCCAGGTGTGTGCTGAGTGGCTCTGCCAGGTGGCCGGCCGCGGCCGCGTGGCTTCGGCAGCAAGTGCCCCTGCGCCCCGGGACTCAGTTTCCCTTTTGGTGCCGCACCCTGTTTCCTGCCAGGACCCTGCAAACCCGCTGCGCGCGTGGCTCGGGCGCGGCCTGCTGAGATGACCAGGGCACCCGCGGCTGCCCGGGGGCGGGGGCGCGGCCCCCCAAAACCCCAAGCCCCGCCGCCCCCCCAGCCCCCCCCCCCGCCCCGCCGCCCCCCCCCCCCCGCCCCCCGCCCCCCCCCCCCCCCCCCCGCCCCGCGCCCCGCCGCCCCGCCGCCCGCCGGGCGCGCCCCGCCCCACCTCCCTTTGTTTCCCTTGGCCCGCCCCCCGGGCGCGCGGCCTCCCCATTGGCCGGGGGGCGGGCCGGGCGGCGGGGGCGGGGCGGGCCGGCGGGGGCCGAGTGCGCCTGCGCCGAGTGGCCGCTGCCCGCCGCGGCCCCGCAGCGAGTGGGTCTCGGCGGCCCCGGGAGCGGCGGACGCGGCCCCGCCCCGGCTCCATTGTTGCGGCGGCGCGGCGGGGCGGAGCGGCGCGGGAGGCCGGCGGCCGGCGGTGAGGCGCGGCGGGCCGGCGGGCGGGCGCTGGGATCGCGGGGCGGGGGGCCGGGCCGGGCGGGCCGGGCGTGGCGGGGCGAGCGGGCCGCGCCGCCGCCCGAGGTGGCCGCCCCGTCGCGTGGCGCCCGGGCGTTGTCCCCGCCCGCGGGTTCCGCGCGTGGCCCGCCCGGGCGCCGGGTCCCTCCCCGTGCGCGGCGCCGCTGTGGCGGGCGGAGGGCAGGGCTCTGCCCAGCTCTGGGGCCGCCGTGGGCTCCTGCGTGGGTTCCCGCCCGTGGGCTCCCGGCCGTGGGCTCCCGCCCGTGGGTTCCCGCCCGTGGGCTCCCGCCGTGGGCTCCCGCCCGTGGGCTCCCGCCGTGGGCTCCCGCCCGTGGGCTCCCGGCCGTGGGTTCCCGCCCGTGGGTTCCCGCCCGTGGGCTCCTGCCGTGGGCTCCCGCCCGTGGGCTCCCGCCGTGGGCTCCCGCCGTGGGCTCCCGCCCCTGGGCTCCCGCCGTGGGCTCCCGCCCCTGGGCTCCTGCCGTGGGCTCCCGCCGTGGGCTCCCGCCCCTGGGCTCCCGCCCCTGGGCTCCCGCCGTGGGCTCCCGCCGTGGGCTCCCTCCCGTGGGCTCCCGCCGTGGGCTCCCACCCGTGGGCTCCCGCCGTGGGCTCCCGCCCGTGGGCTCCCGCCATGGGCTCCCGCCGTGGGCTCCCGCCCGTGGGCTCCCGCCGTGGGCTCCCGCCCGTGGGCTCCCTGCGGGGCTGGCGGTGCAGTGGGCGGTGGGTGGCGCGGGGCGGGGGCCGCTCCTTCACTTACCATCCAGGGACCGAGCGCGGGGCGCTGGGCCTGTCCCGCCGCTGTCACCGCGCCGCCGGCCGGCCCGCGGGAGCCCCTGATTGGAGGAGCCTCCCTCTGCCAGGGCCGCCTGGTTTCTTCCGTTAGGATTCGAAAGAAAAAAAATCTGGAAAGCCGGATCTGACTTTGCAGCTCTGGGCGCCGGAGAGTGGAGGAAACCTCCCAAGAATTTGGCAGGCGGGCGCGTGCGCTCGGAGGGGAGAGTCCACGCCCGGGAGGAGGCCCAGCCCGAGGTCAGGGCTGTGTGGGATGCGGGCAATGCGGGCCGGCCCGCAGGGTTCTGGCCTCTGCCCCAGGCACTGCCTCGACGCTGAAGTGGGGCGGGTCACTCCCGAGCTGACGCTGCCCCCACTGACCAAGTGCCCACCGCCTGCCTGGCGCGCGCTCTTGACCGGCGGGCAGGCCTTTCCCTCGAGAGTGCTCCCTTCCAGGGTGAGCCACAGCCCGGGCCGGGCCGGGGCCCCACCTGCAGTTCTTGGCCGGGGTGTGTTCCTTGTGAGTGACAGGCGGGGGGACGCTGCAGCTGTCCCGGCCACGGCTCCAGGCCAGGCGCGGGTCCCTGCTCTGCCTCCTGTGCCTCGGCTCCCCCAGTCCCAGCCGAGCCCCCGGACACCTCCCCGGGGCTGCAGCTCCCGCCGGGCCACGTGGCTGCAGCTGGGGATGCGGGTCCAGCTGGGCCGCCTCTGTCCAGCCCCAGGGCCCAGGTGTTTCTGTGACGGGAAACCTGAACTTAGCCCCAGAGGCTGCGGAGGGCCTCGCGCACCTCCGGCCGGGCGGCCAGGGCTCGGGGCCTGGAGCTGTGGCTGGCTCCTGCCCAGCCGCCCGCGGGCTGCCCGTCCTCACCTCCGCAGCCGCCGACGCAGGTGAGACCCTCGCGGCCCGCAGCGTCTTCCTGGCAGCGGGTCACAGGGGCGGAGACTCTGGGAAGGCTGCTTCCCAGCGGGAGTTCTTGTCTTCACCCTCCTCCCCTCCCCTCCTCCCGCCCCTCCCCCTCCCCTCCCTCCCCCCCTTTCTCCCTCCCTCCTCCTCCCCTCCCCTCCCCCTCCCTCCCCCTTTCTTTTCAAAACATCTCGTCTCTCCGCTGGCGTGTTGGCTGGACGCGGCTTGGGCAACTCGCTGATCCCCTTGCGCGTCCTGGGAATGACGGTTTCCCGGCGACATCCGGGCCGTGTCCACCCGGATGACACGAGGGGCTGCCCTCGCGGAAGATGTTGGGTGCCGAAGTCTTGTCACGCGTGTTTCCTGGCCCCTGCGGCGTCCCTGAGGCCAGCCAGCCGTGGGCTGCGGTCTGTCCCCGTCTCCGGCCGCGAGATTGTCTGGGGGAGTCAGAAATCAACGCCAGGCCGGGGGTGCGGGGCTGAACGCGCCCTTCAGGAGCAGAGCCCGCCGGCCCCGGCTTGAGCGCCCTGCGTGGGCGCCCACCTGGGCGCGGGGCCGCCGCCAGTCGGGGCGGTCGGCGGGTTTGCACTGTCCGCCGCGGGCTGTCTGGAGGACGCCGCTCTCCCCGCCCGCTTATCAGATGATGACAGGGCGAAAACAGCCGTGGCCGTCGCGTGGCGCAGGGCTGCTCGAGCCACACGCCGTCCAGTCCTGAGGAGCGCTGTTTTGCTGCGGTTCGCGGCCTGTTCTTCATTAGACACGGCGCCGCCCCCGTGCGCCACGCGGCGTGTCCTGTGGGTCACGGGTCTGAGGGCTCTCCAGAAAGGCAAACTTCCCCAGGGCTTCTCCCGGGGTGGCCGCGTCGTCCCGGGGGAGCAGGCTCCCGGTGAGAGCCGCCGTGGGTGCAGGCCTCGTGGGCCGTGGGCGGCGCGCAACGGGGCACCTCCTGGGAGGGGCTGCGGGGCGGTGGGCTGGAGACGAGCTTGCTTTGTCCTCTCCCTGGCGGAGGAAGAGGGTGACCCACACTCTTCTCGGGAGCCCATTCCCCGCCACTGAGACGAGACCTCCAGGGCCTGCGGGCCCCCCACGAGCCCCCTTTTTCCTTTTTTTTTTTTTTTTTTTTAAGATTTTGCTGCCATCTCTGAACCTTCTTTTCTTTTAAGTATTAATTGCCTGGAGCTGGACGTTTGGAGATACTTTTTCTTGGACCGAAAGTCTCCTCTTTGGTACAAGCCCACGCCTGCCCCACCCACCCCGCCGCACCCACCAGCCACCGCCCGCCTTGCTCCTTCCTGTCTGAAGGTCCTCGCTGTGCCCTGCCGGGGACTCCAGGCCGCCTGGCGCCGGCCGCGGGGCACACCCACCCGGGGCCTGCGGGTGACGGGGTCCAGCTCTGCGGGGCAGGTGCACCTGGACACCCAGGTGCTGAGGGCGCTGAGCCGGGGCTGCCGCGTTGCGACAGGAGCGTTGCGCTTTGCTGGTGACGGCTGTGCTGCAGGTGGTGAGAGCAGCGGTCAGGCAGTGCCCTGTCCCGGCCGAGACCAGGGTCAGAGCAAACGCTGCCTTCAGAGAAGCTGGGCTTTCTCCCCATGGAAACCCCCGTCGTGCGGAGGCCCCAGCAGCCCATCAGGGCGCTTTCTGCGGCTGTGGGAGGCTCGTGTGCTGGGCCCAGGAGCATCAGAGCCTCCGCCGTCTCCTCGCCGTCCCCTCGCCTCCTGACGTGGCTGGCGGGAGCCCTGGCCACACACCGGCCCCTCTGGCCACAGCGCTTCTGCCAAAAGCCTCTCCAGCATTTGCTTGAGGAGGTAAAACACCCACTTGGGACCTGGCTCTGCACAACCATGGTGGGGCGGGCGCCCAGGCCGCGCCCCTCTCTAGAACGGGGACAGGGTGCGTCCACTTGGCAGGACACGTTCCTCCCCATGTCTCACTGCTTCCAGGCCGACGCAAAGCAGAGTCTCACCCGCCTCGATCGTTAGGAGTGGGGAGCTTCTGAGCTCAGTCACCCCGTCTTCAAGGCCTGGCGTGACTTTCCCTTTGTAATAACCAACCAGCTCTGATCGGGAACACGTGCCCGAGGCCCCGAGAGGCGGCACCCGCGGACCCCGGTCCCACGCAGGGCATGTCCGGGCCAGGAGGTGCGTGTCTCCTGGGGACGGGCTCTGTCCCCGGGCGTCGTCAGAGGGGTGAGAGGCCAGATAGTCGGAGAACACACCGCTTAGTGCCGTATCCTCGTCGGTCAGGCAGCAGGTTTTGTTTACCAATTAGAGACCCATGTTAACAGTGATTTCATAGAGGCACGTAGTTTGCAGAGTCAGAAGTTCTACAAGGCTTAGAACAAAAAACAGCCTCCACCTGCCCCGCCCTGCCCCGCCTGCGCCCTGTCCCGGAGGCTCCGCTTGCTGCCTTCCTGCCTTCTGTCCTCCACTCTGTCCCCCGGCCACTGGTGGTTATTTGCGGCCTTCGTTGTGTGTTGATGGTGGGATTTGGGGGCTGGAGGGCCCGAGGCCGCTCAGGGCCGCTGCTGGCTGTAGTCGGCGGGGGTGGGTCTGCCCCAGGAGCTCGGGCGGGATGCACGGGCAGTCCCGGGGCACAGAAGCAGCCGCCAGCTTCCGTTCCTTCCTGCGCGGTGTGGCCAGGGTGAAGTGGTTTTATGGCTGATTTTCAGTTCACTGATCTGTTTCTGACTCTTGTTCTCAAGGAGACCTTACCTCGGCCTTCGTGTGTTTCCCTAAGCGTGATCTATGCGAGGTGCTTTCCTGGACCCTTCAGCTGTTCAGCACCATGGCAAGGCTGTGGCGGGCCGAGCTTAGAGTCCGTGGATTACAAAGTGAAGTGCAGCTTTTTCTGCTTTTTCATCTCAGAGCATCTTTGGGCTTAATCTCAAATTGTCTTTTGACCTTTCAAAGCTTTTGCTGCAGAGATTTATTCTAAGGGGGGTGGGCAGACCACTGACCCTTTAGGGGGTGCAGGTTTCTTGGTGAGAGAAAGGCAGGGGGCCTTGCTGAGGCCGCAGGGTTAGTACCGGGCTGGAGTATGGGGCCGCGGGCTGAGACACCTTATGCCAGGCTGAGTGGGCGCTCCCTGGGATGTGGGAGGAGCAGTCGGGGTGGGCGGCTGGGGTCAGCCTGCAGAGCTGGGCCCTCCGGGCTGCTGGGGCTTCTGCTGTTGAGGCACATGTGTTCCAGTACCTTCTGTATGGAAGACCTGACATCAGCCTGCCACCCAGTATTTATAGCAGCTGGTGCCTCCTACCTGGGTCACTTTCTGTGCCGTGGTTTCTTGAAGGAAATTGCCCGTGTCGCTGTGCTGAGCAGGCACACGGAGTTCAAGTTCAGGGCGTACAGACTTCTGCACCCCTGCCAGACGGGGTCCTGTGCGAGCCTGATGAGCAGGGCCACGTCCCTCGTTGCGTCTGGCGTTGCCCAGGTGACCGAGATTGTCCAGAGGGCCTTTGTGACGGCTGAGTCCCTCCCTTCCTGGCTCCCGCCTTCTCCCCTCGCGCCCCCTTAAACAACACGGCATTTTTGAGCAACCACCGGCCGAGTAACTTGGCTTCTTCCGTCTTCTGCTCCCTCCTAATTGCATGTTGCGTGAGCCTGGCTCCTGACAGTCCCTTTGCCCTCATGGAGGGGCTGGCTGGCTGCCAGGCCTGGGACGGGCAGCGCGGTGTGTGCCCGCAGCCAGTGGTCAGGGCACCAGGCCCCTGAGGCCCACGGCTCGGCACTGGCAGAGCCTGGACACAGGCAGCCTCGCGGTGGGCAGGTCGTGGCACAGCCAGCCGGTGGCCCTGGCCTGTTGTGGGCACTGCGCGGTGTGGGACGGCAGCCTCCTGCCCCCGGCTCAGGTCCAGTGTCAGCCGTGCGTGCTGTGGCCGGCTTCTCCGCACACGGGGTTCCCAGTGATGACATTCCCACCCCGACGCGGGGAAACGAGACCCCCTCATAGCCCATTGCTCGTAGCCGCCTGCTCGCTGGCTGCTCAGGCTTTGTGATACGGAAGTCAAGAGAATCTGGCGCCCTAGGGAGCCGTCGGGGTTGTGAGGTGAGAACGCGTGGAGCTGTGTTGGTCGGCGCGTGGCGGGGGCGAAAGCATCCCGAGCGCTGCCGTGACCGGTGGTGGTGGCACCGCAGGAGTCGGCGGGCGCGCAGGGAAGCTTCTCCCGCCAGATGGGAGAAGCTGCGTCCTCGTGCGGAGGACACGCCAGGCCTCCCGGTCCAGACCCAAAGCAGGGCAGCCTAGGGGCAGGCTGCGCCGGGCGCAGGAGGGAGGTGCGGCCACGCATGGCAGAGAGCTCAGGTCTCGGGGGTGCGACAAGCTCCCAGAAGTCACCGGAGCAGTCCGGTCGGAAAGCGGGTAAAAGACATTTCCCTGGTGGCAAATGAGAAGCTGGCCAGGCCCCGAGGAGGCGGCCCTCACCCTGGAGCGGCGGAGACAAGCAGTGGAGACAGGCCGAGTGCTGTGAGCACTCGGGGACCCGCCGACCCTTGGGGTGGACGGCGCTGCCGCCGCGGGGCACACGGGCCAGCGGGTCCCTGAACGCAGCCTGCCCGCCGTGAGACGCAGCACTCCCCCCTGGCAGCCCCCCGAGGAGGACGTGAGTTCTGCCCAGGGCCGGGGCAGCTCCCTGGAGTTGGGGCCTCCGGGGGGGGGGGCGCCCCTGTAGGCCACGGATGCCGCAGAGTGATAGCAGGGGATAGAACGGCTGACTGTCCGAGGCACATGACCACCTGGCTGAGTGTTGGCGGATTATATTGAGGAAAAAAAAGCCAGTTCCTAAAGGTGACATAGTGTCTGGTCCGTTTATAGATGGTGAACAGATTAGTGGGCCAGGGGTTAAGAAGCGGGGAGGAGGTGCAGGGTGGGGGCTGAGGCAGTGTCGTGGCTCCCAAGGAGGCCTGGTGGGGAGGAGCTCCCCGGGGGCCTCCTCTGCGCCTGCCGGGGACACTGCAGTGTGCGATGGTGCGCTGTGGATGTGCAAGCGGTTGCCACGTGGGGACGCTGGGTGAGAGAGCCTGGGGTCTCCACCTGTGCTCGTGCAGCGGCAGCGGCAGCTTAGTTATCTTGGACTAAGATTCGTTCTTAAAAGCACGTTGGCTGCTGAGCGTTAGTTGTTCCATCATCAACCAGAAAACTCTTCTAGGGAATTTACATTTGATATTCTGTTGCTTTAAAAAACCTTTCGTGCTCCTGCACGGCAGCGCCTCTCCCCGTGTGCTCAGACAGCGCAGAAAGCACCCGGGCCCCCTCAGGAGCGTCACCACAAAGCCACATTTCTGGGGTGCCCTGTCACTGTTTCTCCCTGAGGCCTGGTGCTGGCGATCGCCCTCGTCCTGACCTCAGGGAGCCAGTGCTCGGAGAAGTGACGTGACCTCCCGGTGGAAGTCGGGGATGGAGTCAGTGGCTCCTGGGCCTGGAGAGCCTTCTGGAGTCTGTGCCCGGCGCGGGCCCTGTGCCCTGACCTCGCCCACGCCCTTTGGGGTCCTGGTTCTGAAAGCGGGTCCTCTGGCCCGAGCCTTGGAGCCACTGGGAACTTGTCCTAAGAGCAAGAAGGGCCTGCCCCGGCACCATCACTCTTGCTTGGATGCGACCTGAGTGGCTGCGGGTGCCTCACCTACAGGGGCGGAGCAGGGCTGGGGCCAAGGACACCGGAACTCGGGGTGCCCAGGCCCCCAGCATCCACGCCGGTCTTGCCTGGCATTTCCGCGATGCTCACCCGCTGCCTCCCTCATTAGCTTCGGAGCTCATGCTCTGCAGGCTGGGGTGGCACCCACCACTCTGAGCCCCGCCTCGCGCTGGACAGGTGGGTGAGCAAGTGCCACCCGCATCCGCTCAGCCCCCCTGAGTTCAGGTCCCCCACGCCCCAGCCCTCCTCCTGAGGGCCGCTCCTCACCAGGTGCCTCCGTCACGGTCCCTGCTCTTACCTCGGCCGCTGCCCCGTCCCGCTGCTCCACAGTGTCTGGGGCAGCGGCCCACAGTGGGTGGGCCAGTGGGTGGCCAGTCAGCTCGAGATGGACCCCCCCTGCTCCCCATCATCTTCCAAAGCCCAAGGCAGCCAAGCCAGCGTGTGTCACCTCCAATACACGTCCACTCGGGGTTAGACAGCTGACTCCTTGTCGTTCCACTTGGGTGTGTTTTGATCTGTCATCTATGACACGGGGTATGAGGAAACACACCAGCGCATCCATCGGAGGCTGGGGTAGGGTGGGGTGGGGTGGGGTGGGGTGGGATGGGCGGGCCTGCTGGGGCCGGCCGGCAAAGAGCCAGTAAGGGAGCAGCAGTGGCCGCCTGGCTGGAGTAACGGTGCCCGCAGTCCGCCTGGCGGCCCCGTGAGCACCTGCTCTGCGTCCTGGACTGGGGAGGCCCAGCTCACTGCGCTGAGTCTCCTCCCTGGAGGGCACCCCCAGGCCGGGGGGAGGCAGCTCTCGTGCCCATATTTGGTGGCGTCGGATCAGATCAGAACACGCAGCTGTGAGAAGGGGCTGTCCTTGCTGACACCGGGCCATCTGCACAGGCGGGACGCAGGGCAGCCGTGAGGGGACTTGCCGAAGTGTCTCTTAACCCATCTGCTCCCAGGGCGGCCTGGCCAGGAGCAGCTCCCTCGCAGACAGATGGGCTTTTACCCTGGGGCATTGGTGTGGCCACAAAGAGCCCCGGCAGCTGCCAGGGCCTGATGGCTTTCTGGGCAGCCGGGGGAGGGGGAGGTGGAAGGCGGGGCCCCCTTCCCTTCTGGGCACCGTGACGGGCACTGCTGTGACTGTCTGGCCAGCGGGGTCTTCTGCAGGAGGCTGAGGGGGCTGGTGGC